GTTTGTTACAAGGAAAATGAAAGATTGTTGCTCTTCCTACGCAAAATCGACAAGATTTTATTATTATTATTGGTTATATTTGAGAGAAAACGTTTAGATTTCTCTTTTACATACATTTATTGTTGGGTAATTAAGATTGCAATTATTATTGGTGAGCGGTTTTCAACAGTAATTAAATAAATGTTGTGCCTGTTTTGGGCTTAATGATGAATTTGTTTTTGGGATATTAGAAACTCATAATTTCTAACTAGATGAAGTATGATTTTTGATGTGGAAAAATGCTTAATTTGAATTAATCACAGAATAGAGTGTCTTTTATTGGATAAACTTGAAAACTGAGTCAAATTTTCATTTCTAATAAAATTCTAAATCAATTTCAAAAGTTTCTGAAAAAAAAATGTATATAAAAAAATGTGTTCAAATCGCAAGTGAAAATTTTCATTTATAAAAAAAATCTAAACTAACTTTAACAGATCCTGAAAATATATAGGCACAACCTTTGAAATAATCTATTTAATTTTACCTTAAAATCTTGTCAAAGTAATCCATTGTAAACCCCAGAAAACCCAAAAAAAAGAAAAATCCTAAACTTTTTCACAAACACACGAAAAGTTCGCGCGGTATTAGAAAAAAGCCCATTCCGGGTCTTGCTCGCATGCCTCAAATTTACTGCTGGGCAAGTATTAATCACGTAAATAGATTGAGAATGTGTAGGATTGCATTCGAGAGGAACAGCAGTCAATTTAACCGTGATCTTGGTAATTCCAAGACTTGAATTCCGTCATTTAAAGACCAATTGACTGGTTTCCGTTTCATTCTTTGCGTGGTACCATAGTCATTGCGGATACTCATTAGCGTAGACTGATGATGGTCGTTATTAAGGATTTAATATCAAAAGAATCTCAAATCTGCTGAGGCTGTAATTCGGGTGCGACTTCAGTTTATTGTTCAAATATTATTAAACTTTAATAAGCGTTTAAGTTTATTTAAAGTTTTGCGTTCACTTTGTTTAATACTATTAGAAAAATGGGAAAAAGGCAATGTGCTTCGAGCTCGGATTCTAAGAGCGATAGAGATAGCGATGTTCAACGTTATAAAAATAAGAAATCACGAGGGCAAGGTTCACATTCACAAGATTTGAGAAGACGTTCGAAATCGCGTGATGGAAAACGTTCCAAATCGCCTGATGATCAATGTACCTCTAAGAGGCATTTCTAAATTCCGGTGCTCTCATTCTATTACACGCAAAAATGATTCAAGAAAATGTTCAGAATTACTTGTTAGCAGAAACGTCAGAACATACAGGCCAGAATCTCGGAAACGTCCAGAACCGGATCATCCAACTTCATGAAATTATGTAAGGTCTCGAGTTGTTGAGGCTCAGGTGTTTAACAGCAACGTCAGCTACATATCCCTGTATTTCGAATTCTCCTGAAGAAAACAATTTTGAAACAACACAGGAACGAGTCCAAAGGTTGGAAAATATGGCCAAACAATTAACTAGACAAACACAATCAATTGGAAGTAGATCTGAAGTGTCTAGATTAACTGTTAAAAGTGATTGTATACCTGAATTCTCCCCAAAAAACGATAATTTGACTTCACGACAGTGGCTTTTCAAGATTTACCAATTAAAAGACATTAAAAATTGGGATGATATTACAACAATTTACCACATGCAGTCAAGATTGGTGGGCATGGCAAAGACATGGTGCCACATGGTTTACCTAATTACAACTTGACTTAGGAAGAATGGAAAACTCTTCTTAAACGTAGTTTTCTAGACCATACTGATTATGCGACCCTTCTGCAAACAATGCTGAATCGACAGAAAATGGTATCTGACTTCGTACTTCGTACTATTTTGCAAAGATGGAACTCCTAAGAACCTGCCGCGTTTCGGGAAAAGAAGCAGTTTTTTGCCTTGTACATGGGATAGATGATCCAGTTATTCAAAATAGTGCCAGAGCTGGAAGTTACCAAAACCCAGAAAACTTATACGAAAAATAGTTGTCATTACTAAATATGTATTGAAATTTATCCAAAAGAAAAAGAACAAGTGAAATTGCCAACAGGGTCTTCAGATTTAAGAAACCACATAAGAAATAAGCAGAATAAATTTGAAAAGTGTTCCAATTGTGGTCCAACGAGGGCATATAGCTTGGAAATGTTCAAAGCCTAGGAAGAAATGTAGAAAATGTAAGTTATTGGGACACGAAGAAAATAATTATCCAAAGCAAAACTCCTACAAACCTGGTGAGTCTAAGGCCCAGTTGTACAATCTCGGTTCAAAACAAAGTTCAACTGAACTCGACTGGTACTTGATCCTTCCCATTTAAAATACATTCCTGTCAGCTATTAATCAAATTCTATCAATGCATTTTAAATGGAGAAGTTCCAAGTACCAGTCGAGTTTAGCTGAACTCTGTTTTGAACTAAGATTGTACAACTGGGCCTAAAAGTAAATGTTGCAACCTTGTATGCGCCGTGAAGCGTACTGAAAGGGTAGGTACCCAACGGGAGATAGAGAATACGCAACTAGACTAGAGAACAAGCTGGGCTTGTCCCTTAGACGCGTGTCAGTAATTATTCTTCATTATTCAATTTTTATTTTGCATTAAATTGATTGTTCAATCCAATTTGTTATTAGTGTGTGTGTCAAGGAGCGATTATAGGTCAGTTGAATAATTGTTATTTTGTTTTTGAGAGTTCAATTATTTATACAAGTATAATTTTTTCCATTTTTATGTTTTTCTGTTTGTTTATAACATTTTTTTTATAACATGTGTATTTTTCATGTATTTAACAAAAATCGTTTCATGCTGTAAACAACATAGATAAAGAGTAAATTGAAACCTAGAAGAAATTAGGTGCTGTCTTGTGTGCTAGGATTTTGATTTTTGGATTTAGAGCGTGCATTAGGGCCTGGTTGAATTTACTAACATTTTCCTATCCTGACGAGAGAATATCCTAGTAAATTGAAATAATCAATCTAGAGATATTGGCTCAAAAACAACTATAGCTGAGTAGCTTCCCGTATGGAACCTCAGTACCTGCTGGGAAACTGGCTAACAAAAAAAACTCTTCAGTATTGAATATAGGTAGTGTTGATTAAATGTAGTGTGTGTAATTGAAATTTTGGTACAAGAACAGGGGCGGTACCTAATTTAAACTTCTATTGACTAAAATTATTGAATTAATAACTCACAATTATTATTAAAATGACACAGTATATGTTTAGATTTTTAAGGAATGTTAGATCGAGGGTTTCTCTGCCATGCTCTTTCCCCTCGTTAGTTCATGGAAGAGAACGGTACGATTTACTTTAATAATGAAGTGGACTTTTCACAAATTTTTCGTTTCTTTTACATATCAAAACTTCCCTTAAATTTCCCAAATATTTGCCATGTCGGGCGCATGTCCAGTAAGTAAAAACACATCAGCCTGCCTCGGTTGCATGTATAATAAGACGCCTTTAGGTTAAGTACCTGGGAGTCTACACAATATCGAAAAGAAAAGTGTTCCAATGGACACTCAGTTGTTAAATTTCTGACTGATTTGGTTAAAATTTGTGGGGAACCTCGAAGATTTATTTGTGACAGGGGCACAGCGCTTACAAGCCAATCTTTTTCCTCATTCTGTGCGGGATTAGGCATAAAACCAGTGTTATGCGTAACGGCAACTCCACGAGCCAAAGGGCAGAAGGAGCGAATGAATAGAGTTATTCTTTCAGCTCTAATGGCCATTGTAGATGACGATCAAAACTGGGACCGTGAACTTAGCAAAATGAATTTGGGCATTAACTCAGCCATAAGTTCGCTGACAGGAAGTTTGCCATATGAAGTGTTCTTCAGATACCAACCACAAGGAGTTAGTGACGCATTTTTGGCAGCGGATATTTTCGAAAATGAGCCAGCTAATCATGCGGTAATACGTACCGAAGTAGCTCAGCGTATACAAGAAAAGCAGTCGACAAAAAAAAAAAAAAAACGATAAAAGGCATGCCATAGAGAAAACGTTTTCTGGAGGACAACTGGTCCTTGTCCGACGAGCAAAGTGCTCAAACGACGGACAAAGTAAGAAACTTGAGCCACGGCATCACTGTGACGACAGTGCTAAGTAACGATAGATACGTGGTGGAGGATCTTAAGGGGGCACAACGCTGCCAGAAATCATATGTAGGGATAATGTCCTTCTGAAAAGCTTAAGGCTTTCAATACGGTTGAGTTCCAGTAAATCAGACGGAGGTGCTGAGGACTCACAAACCTTGTCTTGATTTAATGTTAACAATACTCAATTATTAATGTTTTTTTTTTGGTACTTCAGAATCAGATAGAGGTGAGCTTTGCGGGGGTGCGAATGATGGGAGTTTCATTGTTCCCACCAGCATTCCTTCACGTGCTTGGAAGTACCTTGGAAGTGTTACCTTTTTTTGTTTGGTTGTTTTTGGATAAAATAGGATAGGGTTGGATGATCACGAATATTTTTGGGCCAAATAGTCTGAAATATACGCTCTTATTGTTAACGTGTTGGAGTTTGATCAAAATTAGTTTACAATTATTATTTAATTGCCGAAAACCAAATAAATTCTTGCTCCACCCATGGTATTAAAAGTGGTGCGTGGATCTCAGGAGCACGTGGGTGTACCACTCTTGTCGTTCGGGCCCCACCATGCTACCATCAGCCGGTGCAAGAATACCTTCACACCTTTTGCAAAATGACATGGTACTCCTTTTTGTTGTTAAGCTATCATCTGCTAATCTAGGTATTCTAAAAATATAGAAACTTAAAATTTCAAAATAAGCAATCGATTATATTTGTTTATTTGCTTAAAGCTTTGTTGGAGGGTATCAAAAATTCACTTTTTTTTGCAATATAATAATTGTTATCACGGATTTCAAGTAGCCACTTTTTTATCGAGTGGCGCTTTAAAAAAAAAAAAAAAAACCGTAATATGCATAAATAAATTGGAAGAATATAGCGGAAAACAAACACTCGAAAGATAATCGTAATTTTTCAAATAAATACAACTCCTCAATCCTTGGCTTTCATATTCACTTTTAAATCGAGTCAGGGAATTAATAATCTAATTTCGGACTTGACATTGAAAAATGTTCTTTTTTGTAGTATTTTGCATTGCTCTAGTTGGCTGTAATGGAGCCTCTATACCCGAAGAAACCTTCACTCGAGAGGATTTGGACCTGTTGATGGTACAAACGTTCGGAGATTCTGACAATTTCACTGTGGTAAGTTCGACTCAAATTTTTATAATTATTCATACTTTTGAGTTTGTATTTGATGTTTTATGTCGACACAAAGGTAATTGTATTTGTTTCGAAATGGTATTTGATTGGAGTTAATCGCCTGATTAAATTGCAAAATTTTTATTTCCTCATTGCGGCGCTTGATTTTTCAATACCTGATTGAAATAAAAAAGGAACGGAGAAAAACAAGTCCAATACCTGGATTCAGAGAATAATGGCTTAGGAAGGATGGCAGGGAAAATCTGGAGAAAGACTTGGAACAAAATGAGGGAGAAAAGCTGGAACAAGACCAAAAAAAAAAGGTTGGAATCAATTTTTCTATTCCAACCCAAAATAACGTTCGATTAGATTTAATTCAAACTCAAAGAGAGAATTTTGAAATAAGACTTTTTTAAAATACAAATTTTCTATTATTTCCGGCCTTTGGTTGTAATTTGTCAATTTATCATTTGATTTTCCCTTGTATTCTCGGAGATATTTCGGTTTTTTGAAATCGCCTGCTTAGTATTCATACCCAGCAGGAACAAGGGAAGCACCAACGTTCAGTTATAGATAAATGGTTAGTGCTACATGATTCAGCTCTTAACAACTCCCTGTACCTACTTCCAGAGATATTTCGACTTTTTGCAAGCGCCTGCTGATTTCACCCTGCTAGGAAAACCGAGACTCCGAGAATATGAACAGCATAAACTCTGGTCTGATGGTACTAATGGTAAACTATCTGCAAGATAAATTTGCCAATCGATAATCCTATTGGTCGACGAATAACTGGCCGATCAATAGGATTATAGATTGCGTTGCGGGGCTTAGTTTCTCTTTTGAGCATGCATTATATTCATCTTATCACAAATGTTATAGATCAGTACTAGCATGTCTTCACTCTCCTTTACATCTTCTCAATTTCATAATTTACCAACAATTCCAAACTTTGGAATCTTTTTTCGTGTATCTTCTGGATCGATTTAAATTCCAAGACAAATGACGTCACTTTCTGCTCTTTGAAATAATCACAATTCAGGAGAAAACCATTTATCATTGGCGTTCTAACGTAGGGAGCCACCAGCTCACATTCCTTTGGAGTATCAGATCTCAGATCAGACTCTAGCGCAGTTCAGCTCTTAACTGCTTATTTCTAGAGATTACTCCATATTTGAAAAACTCCTTGAGGAAGGAAAAGAAAGGTGGCTCACTTTGAGCAGTAATGAATTGTTGAACACCATCACTCGAATTGCAGAAAGCTTTTGAGAAGCATTGAACTGTAGTGTATCGAAAGGACATGTGTATCTATAGGTCTGATCCAACATAGCAAAAAACCGTACAATGTACCGTCACGATTCTGCGCAAAGCGTAAAATTTTGCGTAGAAACCAAAATTCGTCCACTGAGTGGTTTCGAAACTGTTCATGGGACAGTTTTTGACGGTTTGGAACAGACCTTATATTATACGCTTCAGGATTTTGGTGGGTGCTTCGTGCCTCCAATGTTCCTGCTGTGTGAACTAAGCAGGCAATTCCTAAAAACCGGAATACCTATCAAAATTCAAGGATTGCTATATAATTTGGGTATTGAAGCAAATTAAAGCACTAACCATTTATCTGTAACTAACGTTGGTGTTTTTTATTTTATTGCTGGGTGTGAAGTAGGCGGGCGATTCCAAAAAACCGAAATATCTCCGAAAATGCCTTTATAGGTAGAAGAAAGATGTAACTACAAAAGTTGTACAGTTTTGACTGAATTTTTAGAAACCATATACTCAAAAACAAAATTTGAATGTCAAAAATGTAGAATTTTGCATGCTTCCAGCTTTTTTCAAATGGGATGCCCTATATTTCATTCTATTTTTTTAAAGAGCACCAATGCCCCGTTTCCAAAAATATATGGTTTGTCTATATTTGATTGAACAGTCTCTCATATATTCGGCTCCAAAAATTGTAAAAATACTATCCCACTACTGATTTTGTGAACCATTCTACCTATACAGGTGAAAGCTGCAGGTAAAATTTGCGCTGCCCTCGTCCCGCAGAGGTCCACCCATAAGTTTCGCAACAATCCACTTATTTATACTTGAACGATAACTTATTATATAAAGTCAGAATTTGTAAGATTATCCACTTTTTGTCAATTTTCCTTTTAACAGGAATTAGCAATGTTACTTTACCAAACTAATAACATAATGTGACAAATTATTCAAGTACAAACGAGTGGATTGTTGCAAAACTTATGGGTGGACCTCTGCGGGACGAGCGTAGCGAGTTCCGCAGCTATTTATTCACCAATATGTTGTTCAAATACAATACTAACTTGATTCTCTCAGTTGTGAGTTTTTCTCATTAGCTCAAAAACTACACGTTTTAGGTGAATGTTTTACTTGAACAGTTCAACAGTATATTGGTGAGTAGATGGCTGCGGAACTCGCTGCGATCGTCCCGCAGAGGTCCACCCATGAGTTCCGCAACAATCCACTTATTTGTACTCGAACAATAATTTATTATATAAAGTCAGAATTTGTAAGATTATCCACTTTTTGTCAATTTTCCTTTTAACAGGAATTAGCAATGTTACTTTACCAAACTAGTAACATAATGTGACAAATTATTCAAGTACAAACGAGTGGATTGTTGCGGAACTTATGGGTGGACCTCTGCGGGACGAGCGTAGCGAGTTCCGCAGCTATTAATTCACCAATATGTTGTTCAAATACAATACTAACTTGATTCTCTCAGTTGTGAGTTTTTCTCATTAGCTCAAAAACTACACGTTTTAGGTGAATGTTTTACTTGAACAGTTCAACAGTATATTGGTGAGTAGATGGCTGCGGAACTCGCTGCGATCGTCCCGCAGAGGTCCACCCATGAGTTCCGCAACAATCCACTTATTTGTACTCGAATAATAATTTATTATATAAAGTCAGAATTTGTAAGATTATCCACTTTTTCTCAATTTACCTTTTAACAGAAATTAGTAATGCTACTTTACCAAACTAATAACATAATGTGACAAATTATTGAAGTACAAACGAGTGGATTGTTGCGGAACTTATGGGTGGACCTCTGCGGGACGAGCGTAGCGAGTTCCGCAGCTATTAATTCACCAATATGTTGTTCAAATACAATACTAACTTGATTCTCTCAGTTGTGAGTTTTTCTCATTAGCTCAAAAACTACACGTTTTAGGTGAATGTTTTACTTGAACAGTTCAACAGTATATTGGTGAGTAGATGGCTGCGGAACTCGCTGCGATCGTCCCGCAGAGGTCCACCCATGAGTTCCGCAACAATCCACTTATTTGTACTCGAATAATAATTTATTATATAAAGTCAGAATTTGTAAGATTATCCACTTTTTCTCAATTTACCTTTTAACAGAAATTAGTAATGCTACTTTACCAAACTAATAACATAATGTGACAAATTATTGAAGTACAAACGAGTGGATTGTTGCGGAACTTATGGGTGGACCTCTGCCGGACGAGCGTAGCGAGTTCCGCAGCTATTAATTCACCAATATGTTGTTCAAGTACAATACTAACTTGATTCTCTCAGTTGTGAGTTTTTCTCATTAGCTCAAAAACTACACGTTTTAGGTGAATGTTTTACTTGAACAGTTCAACAGTATATTGGTGAGTAGATGGCTGCGGAACTCGCTACGCTCGTCCCGCAGAGATCCACCCATGAGTTCCGCAACAATCCACTTATTTGTACTCGAACAATAATTTATTATATAAAGTCAGAATTTGTAAGATTATCCACTTTTTGTCAATTTGCCTTTTAACAGGAATTAGTAATGTTACTTTACCAAACTAATAACATAATGTGACAAATTATTCAAGTACAAACGAGTGGATTGTTGCAAAACTTATGGGTGGACCTCTGCGGGACGAGCGTAGCGAGTTCCGCAGCTATTTATTCACCAATATGTTGTTCAAATACAATACTAACTTGATTCTCTCAGTTGTGAGTTTTTCTCATTAGCTCAAAAACTACTCGTTTTAGGTGAATGTCTTACTTGAACAGTTCAATAGTATATTGGTGAGTAGATGGCTGCGGAACTCGCTGCGCTCGTCCCGCAGAGGTCTACCCATAAGTTCCGCAATAATCCATTTATTTGTACAGGGTGTTTTTTTATACACTGTGTCCGTAAAGTAACGGATAAATTCATTATTTTGAAAACTGTAGAATTTTTGAAAAATCACTCGGACACTGCAATTTTGTTTTTTTGCTTGAAATTTTTTGATATATTTTTTATTATACAGGGTGTCTCAAAAATAACTCCGCTGCTATCAACTTTGTTTTTTCAAATAGATCAACCTGTATATTATGACATTTATGGATTCTGCGAAACATTTTTGAGATATTTCATGTACAATGTCATATACCTATCCTCAACTGTTTCGGAAATATTGACAGTTGAAAATTGATTTTTTTGGAACTTTGACAGGCTGTAAGACCTGAACAGTTAATTTTAGAGGAAAACCGATCTTACATTCCTATCTTAGATTTTCATAAACTATCATTTGACACCAACTTTGAATTTACCCGGAGATTAAACTTAACCGGAATTTTTAAACACGGATTAACTTCAAAGTTGGCGTTAAATGATAATTTATCAAAATCTAAGATAAAAATGAAAAATCGGTTTGCCTCTAAAATTAACCGTTCAGGTTTTACAGCCTGTAAAAGATGCAAAAAAATCAATTTTCAACTGTCAATATTTCCGAAACAGTTGAAGATATGTATATGACATTGTACATAAAATATGTCAAAAATTTTCCGCAGAATCCATAAATGTCATATTATACAGGGTGATCCATTTGAAAAAACAAAGTTGATATCAGCGGAGCTATTTTTGAGACACCCTGTATAATAAAAAAAATTCAAACTAAAAAACAAAATTGACGTGTCTGAGCGATTTTTCAAAAATTCTACCGTTTTCAAAATAATGAATTTATCCGTTACTTTACGGACACACTGTATATTAACACCTCACCTACAGCCTTTACCTTTACAGGTAGAAGAAATGTGTAAATACAAAAGTTGTACAGTTTTGGTTGAATTTTCAGAAAGCATGGTCAGAAATAAAATTTAAATGTCAGAAATGTGAAATTTTGCATGCTTCCCACTTTTTTCAAATGGGATGCCCTATATTTTATTTTATATTCTTGAAGAGCACAATGCCCCGATTTCAAAAATATATAGTTTTTCTATATTTGATTGAGCAGTCTCTCATTTATTCGGCTCCAAACATTGTAAAAATACTATCCTACCATTGATTTTGTGAACCATTCTACTCAAGTGAATGCTGCAGGTAAAATTTGAGGTACCTACTTGGTTTCTCTGATAGTATTTTTAAAATTTTCAGAACCAAATATGTTGGAGACGGCTCAACCAAATATAGACAAACTATATAGTTTTGGAATCGGGAAATTGTGCTCTTCAAGAATATGGAACCAAATATAGGTCATCCCATTTGGAAGAAGCTGAAAGCATGCAACATTTCAGGTTTCTGACATTCAATTTTTGTTTCTGACCATGGATTCTAAAAATTTAGCCAATACTGCACAACTTTTGTATTTACACCTTTCATCTACCTGTAAAGGTAAAGTCTGTAGGTGGGGTGTCAATATATAAAAAAAACACCCTGTACATTAAAGCACTAACCATTTATCAGTAAATGAACGTTGGTGCTTCCCTTGTTTCGGTTTGGTGTGACGTAAATAGGCGATTTCAAAAGTCCGCAATCTCTGAAAATTTAAGGGTTGCTAATTTGGGTATTGAAGCACTAACCATTTATCTGCAACTGAACGTTGGTGCTTCCCAAGGTTCCTTAAGTTAATAGGTTGTCTGGTAATGGTAAACAAACGTTATCTGGAAGACCTAATGGAGATTTACATTATGTTCAGGCTTCCAGATGACGTCATAAAAGTTATCAGGCAACCTACGACTTTCAAATAACCTTGGGTGCTTCCCTTATTTCTGCTGGGTGTGAGGTAAGCAGGTAATTAATATCTAAAAATTGAAAAAAATAGCATAAAGGAAAAAAGGGAAGAAAATAGCAGCGAAAGAGGAAAGACCCCGAGCGGGAAAAAAGAACAAAGAAAATTAAGAAACAATAAAGTGGCAGCGTGAAAATTGTAAATATAACTTATAAGTAATTGCTCTAAAACAATGGAAATTGTGATTATCAATTATTGAAGTGGTTGTTGAGCGATATGAAGGCACACTTGATCAATGATGCTTAGAATTAGATTATTTTTAGATTGCAAAATTTTGATTATTTCTGGTTCCTATTTTATTGATTGTATCTTGTAAATATACTATAACAAAAATATTAATTATTTGTTTATAATTTCAGGAATGCTTGATCGATTCGCAAGGTTATCCAGTCGAAACCCATCACGTCACAACTTCGGACGGCTACATTTTAGCTCTCCACCGCATCCCACACGGTCGTACTTCCAGGAACAAGGGCAAAGTAGCTTTTTTGCAACACGGACTTTTAGCGTCATCAGCCGATTGGTGTATTTTGGGTGCTGGAAAAGCTTTGGGTAAGTAACTGAAGCTTCAATTGAGTATGATTTTTCACCGCCAATATTTTCCAGCCTTTCAATTGGCCGATGAAGGTTACGACGTCTGGCTGGGAAACGCACGCGGTAATTCCTGGAGCCGGAACCACACGACGCTGAAGCCATCCGATATCGAGTTTTGGGACTTTTCCTGGCATGAAATCGGAATCATCGACATACCGACAATGATCGATTACGTACTCGAAACGACCGGTCAATCTGCAGTGTACTACGTGGGTCACTCGCAAGGTACCACTGCTTATTACGTCATGCTGTCCCGGCTACCCGAATACAACAAGAAAATTGCGGCTGCAGCTAGTCTGGCACCTATTGCTTTTATGAACCATATGACCAGTCCGTTGTTGCACATATTGTCGTTCTGGACAGGAACCATGGACGTGAGTATTTTGAAAAACCAATTTTGCTGCACGAATCCTCCAAGCCTCTGTCAGTTCCTTCCAGCACTTTTGCTTTTCTTCACCATGGTAGGTATAATATATTCTTTTATTGTTTTAGTTTTTGTTCAACATAATCGGTATGTACGAATTCCTTCCAAACGACAACTTCATGAAACGCGTGATGAGCGACACCGTCTGCGCCTGTGACACGATTTCGCAGCTGCTGTGCACCAACAGTTTGTTCGCAATTTGCGGCTTCAGTAGGTCGCAAATGAATACCACTTTGTTGCCCTATTTGATGAAATTCACCCCCGCAGGATCATCCACCCATCAGCTCTTGCATTACGGACAAGAAATAAAATCAGGTTAGACTTTTTTGTAGTTATATAGAGGATGTCTTAGTGTAACTTTATTTTTGTTTCCAGGTCGTTTCCGTCAATACGACTTCGGTTTACTATCTAACACAATCATATATGGTAGACTGACTCCTCCAGGGTACGACCTAAGCAAAGTCACTGCCGCCACTTATTTGATCTACAGCAAGAACGATTGGTTGTCGAGCGAAAAAGACGTGCTGAGGCTTTGTGATGCGATGAAGGTTGGATGTAAAGGAAAAATTCTGATGAGTGACTTTGAGTTTAATCATTTGGATTACATGTTCGGTATAGACGCGCCCAAATTGGTTTACAACAAAGTTATCAGTTTGTTTGCTAGACATTAAAATTACGTTGCTTTTATAAAGTTGACATTGTGTTTATTTTGCTCCAACCACCTAATCTTTATTGAAAACTGATTTTATACTTTTTAACAACATTCATCATTATCATGAATACCATAAAATGGGGTGAAATGCAACTATTGTACCAATCGCAACAGTTTTCAGGAAAATCTCGTTTAATTTTTTTTACCAGTCTGTATGCTTCTCAGAAGGTTAAAATATTTTTTATTATTACGTATTTGGGACTTTCACCTAATACTTGGAGCACAAAAACCAAATTTTGGAAGAATGAAGTTTGAGATAATAATATTTGATTAAGGATCAGTTTTTAATAAGATTTTGTCCTTGAAAAAACTTTATCTGACAAAGCTCCTTAACATTTAAATTTGAGGTGAAGCTCGATAACACATGTCCTTATATTGGTACCTTCCCACTTATAATTTTTACATTTGGCAACACCGCAACTCAAATGCCGGGAATTTTTGATTGGTCACAAATCGCGGAAAAGTGGGGTCAATCGCAACAACAGGGTACGACCTGTCACTCCGCCGTAAGGACGCGAAAAATGGTCAAAGAGGCATTTTGATATTTAAAAAAGACGCCACCGCCACCAAGTGGAATTAAGTTTGTATGTGTTTTTTTTAATAAAAAAATAGGTATTTTGTGCCATAGAGAAGAATAACCTGTTAATTTATTATTATTTTTAAAGCTTAACCTTCAAATGTACAAAAGTTTCACAGTCTCGACTATACCTAGTCGTACCCAGCTAAGAAGGCAGGTCTTTATGCTCGTACCTTATCAGGCATAAAGCAGTCCAGACCAACCTTGCTTTGCATTGCCGCAGTGCGTGAATTTATATTGAAATTATTGCTGGCATAAGCAAAATCGGTCTGTTTTTAATAGTCCGGGGTGACCTCCTTTGGGAATTTATGTAATGCGTGGGCTTGTGTACGTTTATGAGTTGACAATATTGTCAAGCAATGTCAAAAAAGAGCGAATTTCGCGCAAGTGAGAATGAGGCATAATTATTAAATAATGCCTCATTAATTATAATTAATTAAATTATTTAATTCAGTTCAGTATAATGGTTCAGTATAAAGCCTAGTACTGCGAAATTCGCTATTTTTTGCAGGGCTACCAATTTGTGAGTAGGTATTGTTCGTCGATTTTAATCTGATACTCGGACGGAATGTAAGCTGGTGGCTCCCTACATTAGAACGCCAATGGTTACCTGACGTCACACCTGTTTTTGCCATATGAAACACCCCCTCGCTCCTCATACCGCAAGTATCAGTTAAAAATCGACGAACAATAATTTTAATTTTTGTTAGCAAAAACTCCTCTTTTGACTCTTCTGCATAATGAAATCTTAATTGATTTTTTTTTTTTTTAAGAGATAATTTCGTTCAATTGAAGTTTGTTTAAATCCTATTAAGGACCGGTTTCTCAATAGCAGGTTACCCCCGGGTTAAGCATAACTCCAGGGTAAACATAGAAACTGGACACGCTTACCCTGGAGTTAAAACCAACCCGGAGGTGACTCGCTATTGAGAAACCGGGCTTTAATCCCATTCATCATTATAGCATCAGTATTTTTCTTCGTCTCTTGTTGGATTTATTGGTTGCGCCTGGGAAAGATTCCTGAAGTTGTCTAGTAATAGGTAACTTTGTTGTTTGTGGTTTGTGATTTCTGTGGAAACAGACTTTTGATAACGCATCTGGGGAGCCTCATGAAGATTTGCATTATGTTGAGGCACCCAAGATGACGTCATAAAGTTATCAGGCACCCAAGGATGATAAACACCTATAGGATTGCTTATCGGCCTCGTTTTTTGTAATCGCCGCCATATTGGTGTGTCACCATTTCTGACGTCATAACTAAGTCGTCAGATGTTTAAACAGCCTACATCAAGGCGAGAAACAACATGCTGCGTACGTCACAACTGGTGATTTGGCGGGTGGGGGGGATTTGTTCCACACAGGTTTTATGAGGATAGGCCATTCTGTAGTAATAGTGTGTATCATCTTTGAGGCAACCTACCTCTCTCACACAACCTTGATCACTGCCTGAAAACCCCACTAGTTATGACTACAGTGACTTTATTACTACAGTGGCGACAATTGCTGTCTTATTTTTGGTTGGTTCTAAAATCCCATATATTTATATTGAAAACGCCGCCATCTTGTTCCCAACCTCTTGTTACTTTTAAATATGAATATATGGGATTTAGGTGAACATCCATCATAAATCATGGAAAACAACGTATTTGATGGACCTAATCATGGTCATCAAATACGTCGATTTCAATTTTTTATGATAGATGTCCATTTAAATCCTATATATTAATATTTAAAAGTAACAAGAGGTTGGGAACAAGATGGCGGCGGGATCTCTATTGTCGCCACTGTATGTAAAGGTTTATTTAGCCACTGTACACTGAAGTACACACTAGCGCCCCCATGCTGTGGCAGTCATACAACTCGTTGTATGAGTAAGACGAGGATAGGGGAAAAGGCACGAGTTTCCTATCTTTAGGACGGGTTAATCTGTGAATTTACCCCAAATTGCTTAATGCGATTCTTATTTCTGAAACGATAAGTGATGAGCTGAAATTTCAGGGATTGCAGTCCTCCACTAGGATAAGAATCGCTGGAGTTTTCTAGATATAGAATAGGGAACTTGACAAAAAGTTTAAACATGAAAATATTACTATAAATCATAAGAATACAATAATTAAAACCTATATCAGCGAAAAAAACAATTTTTTTCTCCAAACGTCAAAAAAACGTCACTTTGTCAGCACATGTCAACATGTTAGAAATTTAATTTCTATGCTGGTAGGCAAATCCAGCGGATTAATACCTGTCGAGGTGGTAGAAATTTAATTTATATGCTGCTAGGCAACCACAGCGGCAGTAGAAGTACTTTTAGTGCCGCTGGAGCGGCAGCAAAAGTACTTTTAGTGCCGGTCGTACTTTTACTGCCGCTTAACCATCCAGTTGCCTCCGAGCTTACCCCATTCGTTTGGAGAAAAAATAGCGTGTTGCATACGAAGTAGAAGCACTTTTTTGTGCCTCAGCAGTATTGCAAGCCTCACTACGTTCGGTTCGCAAACCTACTGCTTCAGCACAAAAAAGTAAAGCTTCTACTCCTAATACAACAATATACTATTTTTTGTCGCAAACGGCCACAATAAGGAATTGAAAATGCAGAAAAATTCAAATTATTTCCAGCGGGAAAAAACGCTCTGGTACTGGTCGTGACGTCATGTAGTATGATTTGTCAGTGTCTGTCAGCAACCGTCCATCATACCGTGAGTTCGTCTTGAAACACTGAGCACTCGGAGCATTTTCCGTCTTTTTTTCTTATGATGAGAAGAACAGGGATAAAAGAACAAAACAGCAACTCCAAGCGTTTACTCGAACTCTGATTTTTTAAAATTTTATCAATATTAGAATTGGTTTACTTCGCTTAAATTCAATGATTAGCTTAGCATTATATAAATAAAACGATATACCTATTAATTATAACCGAAGAAGGAAATTCCAAAGGGCAATCCGCCAATCTGTAATTTGTGATATGTTTATAGTAACAAAAGTAAGTAGGTATAGAATTTTTAATACCTATTTCGAAATACCAGTCGTTCTAGTGACTAAACGTTTGTCGCTTCTTGAACACACAAATAAAATTAGGTTAGGAATTTCCTATTTGTACATGAATTTGACGTATTAGCAATCGACATTCGTTTTTGTTGGTAATTTTTTGTTTCATCTGATTCGTGATTGATAAATAAGGATCAGATTATTCTAAATGGGTATTAAAAATACTATATGTGCATTTGCCGAATGCTAGAGCAACAAACACTGTACCCAACAATGAACTATAACCAAAAACTGGAATGCTTACAAATAAGGACGAACGTGAAGCCTAGTGCGGCTGCTGCGGAAGGGATACCTGTTTTTGTCGCACTCATTATGTTAAATGGCGAAAATTGCTTCCAACACGTATTCCAATTGATGAAACCTGTGAAGGAAAATATGACAAAACTTTCGAAAACGTCATATGTCAGCGAGCAACAGAAAAAGACAACATTCCCCGTTGTGGCATCTGTCTTTCATGGCTTCATTTTTTTGGCAGATATGGCACTGTGTGCGCATTCCAGTTTTTAGCTCTAGTTCATTGGTACCCAACGTTGGGGCCAATGGTTGGACACATCGTGTGGCGCCGGCTTAACGCAAAATCATACTACGTGACGTCATCCAGATTTAAGGTCGTTTGAAATGCTTTTAATTCGCGCGAAACTTTAAACATTTTTCACCAAGTTATTATTGAGTTTTATGGAATAATATTTGGGGAATACTCTTTCAAGGCATAAATAAATGATTTAAAAAAATAAAAAAAAATTGTAAAGTTCCCTATTAGAGAAATGATTTTTCAAATTTTTTGATCTGCTCGGAGCAATTCTTACCAATGCAAATGAAAACCTTGGAACACCAACTGAAAATCCGTTGACGTTTGACATAACCTCAAATAAATTCAAAACTTTTGTATGTAAACAAACATTGGCCCCAAACATTGAATTTTGTCCCTTTAAGAAGCCTCGAAATGTCTCAAAGTCAAAGAAAAAGTGGCGGCAAATCCCAAACTCAATTAACTCTGTCTCAGTCCTTTGCCAATGTAGCAGATCCTGAAGTTGTAATTCAAAACGTTGTCAGGTACATTATTTATCGAGGAGGCGAGCATATGAATTTCACCAAAGCTGAGCTCGTGCGTAATGTGATTCTTAAGCCCGGAGGGAGGTTTGAGGAGATTATGAATGGGGTACGAGAAATTTTGGAAAAGGTAGGAAATGGACTTATTACAGCTCTAGCATTTTTTGTTTTCAAAGTGTAGCTACAGAAAATATTTATGCAACAAGTGTGTAAAGTAAACCTTTTTTCACGAATATGAACTTTGACTAGGCAATTGCGGCAATCATACGAGTGAAAAAAGGTACCGCAACTTTCTACCCTAGTGCCCTTTGAAGAGTGCGTAAAGTAAGCACTTTACGCACAAAAAATATGTTCTCTTCTTATATCTCATACTAAAATAATTCACTTTTAAAGGTATATGGCTACAGTATAATGGTATGCGACAGAGTTAAAGGCAAAGACAAACAATATGTTGTCAGCAATAAATTACCTTACCTAAATGATGCTGACAAAAATGAAGAAATCGCCCAGGACATCAATAAAGTATTAATCACCCTAATTTTATCACACATATTGATGTCCAACAACGAAGTGACCGACGGTAAGATGTTGCCTTTTTCTACTAATAAACTTTAATATTTATAAACATTTTTCAGTGTCTCTGTATTCATTCTTGAAGTCAGTTGGCATCGATGTGGACCTACGACACCCAATTTTTGGCCAAGTAAAAGAGTCCATCAAAACCTTAATAAAGCAGCAATATTTGATTCACGAAATCAACAATATCTCCAAAAGGGAAATTTACAAGTGGGGCCTAAGGGCGGAAAAGGAGATTTCTAAACATAAGATTTTAGAGTTTGTTTGTAAAGTGAGAATTTTTGGTTTTCAATTTTGAATATTTTCGAAGCGAATCTTTGTTTTTAGATGTACAAAGATAGGAAGGTGGAGGATTGGACTAGTCAGTATCAAGATGCCGAGGAACAAGGCTTTGAAAACCAGCAATTGCAGCTTCAAACACAGCATAGTTTAGAAGAGTAGAAGGATGTATTTTTTGAAATAAAATTTGCTTTTCATTTATTTCCTTTTATTGATTAAACAATCGTTGGACCACAAAAATGATTTTCTAAACAAAAATATTTTGCAAGATGTTGGCAATATTTATTATTTCTCAGGAGGTTGCATCGAAGATTCTCTGGCATTTTTATGTTTACTCTGATGTTGTGATTTTTCTAATGTCTATTTAGTTTCTAAGACAATTTGTTCCCAAAATATCAAATGTTTCTTCCCAATAAATTTTGAGTGAAAAAAGTTGAATTAGACAATTTTTCAAATTTTCTTGACTCTCTAACTTTGAGAACCAAGAAAAAACTTGCCTCTCACAGTTGAGTATCAAATCCAGGTCATAATCATAATCATAATCTGTGTAGGTCATGAAAATCCACCAACGCATGCCCCTATACATTTTCCGATATCCAACGTTCGAGTAAAATTGCGACTGCGTCGCCTTTCTTGTGGAAAATCCCCGATACCAGAGTTTCCCGCAAGTTTTCAATGGCTGCGGGTGTGCGGTGAGTGATTAAAATGTGCCTGATATGATTGTCTCTGAAGGTAATTTCTGATCAATAATTGTACGATTTTAATCTGTTTGATTCTATTTGAAGCAAAATTGTATTTGTTGTAGATTTACAAAAGGTTGAATTATTATTTTGGCTTTGTGCAATATAATTGGGGTGCGGAGTTATGATATAAAGGAGGCTTGGGGTGATATTGATTTGATATTTTTGTTATCAGAAAGTGAGGATTTTTTTTTTTGTTTTCACGGCCAATTATATAATTTGTTTTAGGGTGCGTTTTATATAATTATAATCTCTGTATTTTAATCTATATACTGAGAATAGTTTTTGTCACTTAATAAAAGAGAATTAAATTCTCCTAAAAGGGTCAGTACAAAAAAACTCTTGCACCTTTTTCAGTATTGTAATTCAAAAAGGGAAATTAAATTTCAGAAGATGGAAATTGTAATTCAGAATAGGAAAGTCAATAATCTCAATATAAAATTTAACATTCAGAAGAGGAACATAATACATATTCAGAAATGGGAATTTATGATTTAGAATATAGGAATACACTATACGTATTTCAGAAATGGGAAATTTATTTTCAGAAAAATATAATTAAATTGTAATTCACAAGGTAGGTACAGGGTGATCCAGTATAAAGTGAACACCTCCTACCTTTCCGCATAAAAACTGATTTTTGAAAAAATCAAGATTTTTTCATCACAACGCTTTAACGAAAAATCTAACTGTATTTCGGAAAATGTTTTCAAATTCCTAGAAACAAACTATACACCAAATGGCTATCTTTTGATTTTTTCAAAAATCAGATTTTTAGCGGAAAGGTAAGGGGTGTTCATTTTATACTGGATCACCCTGTACCTACATTAGGTAGGTACTATTTTGAATTACCTACATATTCCATTATCTGAAATTAAATTTACAATGAATTTTCCAACTTTTTCTGGTATTAGGCTGGAAAAAACCTCATGATTTTATTTCCGAGCTTCAGATTCACTTCAAATTTGCCCTATTGGATTAAAACATCCTGGTTAATGAATCCTGAAAGTTTGAAATTGATCTGATACCGCAAACTTTTTTTTTTAGGATTTTTCAAAGGTGCTTTTTGATGTGAATTTTCCAATTTTTTCTGGAATTAAGTTGGAAAAAACCTCATAATTTTATTTCCGAGCTTCATATTGTCTTCAAATTTGCCTTGTTTGATGAAAACATCCTGGTTAATGAATCCAGAAAGTTTGAAATCGATTTGACACTCCGAAGTATTTTTCAGGATTTTTCAAATGTGCTTTAATGTGAATTTTCCAACTTTTTCTGGTATTAGGTTGGAAAAAACCTCATAATTTTATTTTACAGCTTCAGATTGACTTCAAATTTGCCTTGTTTGGTGAATAACATCCTGCTTGATAAATCCTGAAAGTTCGAAATCGATCTGATACTCCGTAGTATTTTTCAGGATTTTTCAAAGGTGATTTAATGTGAATTTTACAACTTTTTCTGGTATTAAGTTGGCAAAAACCTCATAATTTTATTTCTGAGATTCAGATTGACTTCAAATTTACCTTGTTTGATAAAAACATCCTGTTTAATGAATCCTGAAGTTTTGAAATCGATTTGATACTCCGAAGTAATTTTCAGGATTTTTCAAATTTGCTTTAATGTGAATTTTCCAACTTTTTCTGGTATTAAGTTGGAAAAAACCTCATAATTTTATTTTTCAGCTTCAGATTGACTTCAAATTTGCCTTGTTTGATGAAAATATCCTGGTTAATAAATCCTAGAAGTTTGAAATCGATCTGATACTTCGAAGTATTTTTCAGGATTTTTCAAAGGTGCTTTTATAAATGTTCCAACTTTTTCTGGTTTTAAGTTGGAAAAAACCTCATAACTTCATTTCCGAGCTTCAGATTGACTTCAAATCTGTCTCGGTCAAGGAAAATATCCTGGTTAATAAATCCTGAAAGTTTGAAATTGATCTGATACTCCGATACAGGATTTTTCAAAGGTGCTTATTTAATGTAATTTTCCAACTTTTTCTAGTACTAAGTTGGAAAAAAACCTCATGATTTTATTTCTCGACTTCAGATTGACTTAATAAAATATGTCCTGTTTGATGAAAACATCCTGATTAATGAATTCTGAAAGTTTAAAATCGATCTAAAACTCCAAAGTATTTTTCAGGATTTTTCAAAGGTGCTTCAATGTAAATTTTCCAACTTTTTCTGGTATTAAGTTGGAAAAAACCTCATAATTTAATTTCCGAATTTCAGATTGACTTAAAATTTGCCTTGTTTAATGAAAACATCCTGGTTAATGAATCCTGAAAGTTTGAAATCAATCTGATACTCCGAAGTATTTTTCAGGATTTTTCAAAGGCGCTTTAATGTGAATTTTCCAACTTTTTCTGGTATTAAGGTGGAAAAAAACCTCATGATTTAATTTCTCGACTTCAGATTGACTTGAAATATGTCCTGTTTGATGAAAACATCCTGATTAATGAATTCTGAAAGTTTGAAATCGATCTAAAACTCCAAAGTATTTTTCAGGATTTTTCAAAGGTGTTTCAATGTAAATTTTCCAAATTTTTCTGGTATTAAGTTGGAAAAAACCTCATAATTTAATTTCCGAATTTCAGATTGACTTAAAATTTGCCTTGTTTGATGAAAATATCCTGGTTAATGCATCCTGAAAGTTTGAAATCAATCTGATACTCCGAAGTATTTTTCAGGATTTTTCAAAGGTGCTTATTTAATGTAATTTTCCAACTTTTTCTAGTACTAAGTTGGAAAAAAACCTCATGATTTTATTTCTCGACTTCAGATTGACTTGAAATATGTCCTGTTTGATGAAAACATCCTGATTAATGAATTCTGAAAGTTTGAAATCGATCTAAAACTTCAAAGTATTTTTCAGGATTTTTCAAAGGTGCTTCAATGTAGTCATTGTCATATTTAAAGCCATCTTCAACAAGATGTCTTATGAACATTTGCAAAACAACGTCTTTTTTTGTCTTTTAGACGTTCAGACGTAATGCAGACCTAAAAAATACGTCTTTAAGACTTTGTGTGCTGTCTGGGTACAAGTTGCTATTCTAAAATACTTGAAAAAACTTCTAAATTCAGCTATTCTGTCAAAAAATCAGTTGTAGATCCGTTAATATTTAACACATTGACCTAAAGCGACATGTCAATTGAAAGAAAATTGAATTCTCGAATGATTTAACACAAGAGGTTCCAGGATTACCGGATAATATTTTTACCTGTCACGAAATGCGTTACGCAGCAACACCACGACTCCGAAAGGGGAGTGGTGTTGCTGGTAATGCGTTGAGTGTCAGGTAAAAGTATTAGGTAATCCTAAAACATCGAGTGGTATTCAAAAGGTTATACAACGAAGTAAACTTTGATACACCAAGCGCGATAATCCCAAAAGGCTTATCACTTATTAGGCCTCTCGTGTCATATGGGAATAATGTATAGTGTTGTATAATTGATAAAATACCACTGAAAAAAATTTAATTGACAGTTTCTCTATGGCGCTGGAAAAATCTACTTATCTAATGTTGGTTCTACATAGAGTCAAAAAAATTACTTCTTTGTAGCTCCGTTAATATTTGAACTACCCATCCAAAAAGACGACAAGACCCACTAAAAAATTTATAGCTCGAAACATCTTCTCAGTGATAACGAGGCGCCTTTTATCGATGCTCATCTAAAATCCACCTTACGCAAAAACTTTAGAGTCTGGCGTTCAACGCTTTCAAGGCCCTTCTCGCAATAAACTTAAGGCTTAAAGATTTAATTCTCCCGTCTTAGAGCCAAAGTTCGAGGCTCTAAAAACCAGTTTAATAAGGGAAAGATAAATAAGCTATATATTTCAATTTTAATTAAATATTAATTTGAAATAATAAGAACATGTGTAGTTTTGATCATTATTTGTTGAAATAATTTAGAATTCTCTGGCTGTTGATTGTTTTACTTTGGATAAAATAAATATATTCAAGCTTTTATCAGCTTTAAATGATAAAAACCCACATAATTTTGCATACTAAAACCTCGTGAACTAGATCTCTAGTCAATTTTATTTAAATTCAGTACCTATCGATTTTGTATGTGTTTGTTGTTTCTCGTATATTTTTGTTTGAGGTTTTAAGGTACGTAATGCAGGTATTTTTTCCAACTGTTCTGTCTTGCGACATAAGTACATTAAAGCATTACACTATACATTATAAGCGACAATAATAATTTGCCAGACATGAAAATCGACTTTCCGTTCTCTCCAATGTCATCACACAAAACATCATCCCTAAATTTATCCCTAGAAACCAGAGTTTGCCTTAATTGAGCCTCGCATCGAGAAACTCTGAACACATACAAACACGAAACTCAATTAACCCGAGGCCGAAATCGTTTTATTAAATTTCCAATTAACTTTATTGCAGACGCAAGAAACATGCTCAAGGTTGCAGTTGCTCATCGTCTCATCAGTTGACCCAATTCGCAGCAAAATGGCTACGGATTCCGAAAGGCAGTTCCTTTGCCCCAGGTTGATCGACTATCTTACCATTGTCGGGGCCAGAAATACACCTTCTTCTGTTAAGCAAAGTGCCAGCAGTCCTCATATACAGGTAAGAATTGGGGATGTTGGTGGGTAGCTAATTTGTCGATTGAATAATGAAGCTATAAACATTTTCGCGTAGGAAGATGTTCCTACGCAGCCCGTGACAACTCTGATATTTAGAAGATTGGTTTTTAAATAAATCCTCCCACAGCATACTTAACTTGGAAATTTCAAATCTCGATTAAAAGGCAAACCTTATTTTAGTTTAATCATCTAATAATTGAAACCATAAAATACGTTGCTGATGTAAACAACACATTGTATGCTATTTTTCCATGTCGAATTTCATAACTCACTTAAGTATGATACACGTGTTTTTAACTGGCTCAAATATAATACACGTGTTTCCAATACAAGTATGATGGTTTCCAGCCAATTGCTATTTGTTGCTTTACTCATTGTCTCTCGGCATTTTTGTTGTCCTCCCCCTAAAAGGTCTGACCCAATTTTCCAGGGCGGCTCTATCGATTGCCTTTGAACCAGATCTCTTCTTTGTATAAAATCATTGCTATAATAAAAGCTATTAATACAATTTTGATGATTTTTGTAATTGAAGGTTCGTGACGCAACTTCAAGGATTTACAAATATAGCGTCTGAAAGCTATAGGGCTTGTTGCTAATTACGTCGATCACCGAAAAAAGTCTGTTTTTAAATAGTTTATTTGCAAAAAGTTACAAGTTATCTCAAGAGCAAAACAATCTGGAATGAAAGAATGAATCTTGAACTACGAATTACGACAATGTAACTTACTATTCAATTGGTTATTGAATAACAGGTTATGAGCCTAGAACTATCAACAGGATTCTAATGTCAAAGAATTGCAAATAATCCTTTATGGCCTCACGATACGATAATCAGAGGAAAATGCGACATCTTCGGTCGAACAAATAACTATATTTCTTAGAAATAGCGGGAGGGATTTTAGATTTACTTTTATATTTTGGTACTTTGTATGTATGTATGTATGTATGTATGTATGTATGTATGTATGTATGTATGTATGTATGTATGTATGTATGTATGTATGTATGTATGTATGTATGTATGTATGTATGTATGTATGTATGTATGTATGTATGTATGTATGTATGTATGTATGTATGTATGTATGTATGTATGTATGTATGTATGTATGTATGTATGTATGTATGTATGTATGTATGTATGTATGTATGTATGTATGTATGTATGTATGTATGTATGTATGTATGTATGTATGTATGTATGTATGTATGTATGTATGTATGTATGTATGTATGTATGTATGTATGTATGTATGTATGTATGTATGTATGTATGTATGTATGTATGTATGTATGTATGTATGTATGTATGTATGTATGTATGTATGTATGTATGTATGTATGTATGTATGTATGTATGTATGTATGTATGTATGTATGTATGTATGTATGTATGTATGTATGTATGTATGTATGTATGTATGTATGTATGTATGTATGTATGTATGTATGTATGTATGTATGTATGTATGTATGTATGTATGTATGTATGTATGTATGTATGTATGTATGTATGTGTTGGACGTGTCAGTTGCACTGCGACCAAGGTTGATCTATTCTACCCCTCCTTCTGCTGCTAAGTTCGGGTTTCCTGCTTAAAGCAGCCCCTCTAGTCCTAGGTCCTTTAGGAATTTTAGGATATCTAGCGGTTCCAGGGCTGGAATGTCTTCCAGCTGTATAAGGAGACTTCCCAAGTTCTTCATTCTTGAGCGGCTTACGGCATCGCAGTTCAGTAGAAGATGGTGAGGTGTTTCTTCACCGTCTTCACAGAATCTGCAAGTGTTACCTTCTTCCAACCCCAGATTATGTAGGTGCTTATTCAGTCTGCAATGTCCCGAGAGAAACCCGGTTAGAGTTTTGAGACTTTTCTTGCTAAGGTTGACCAGCAGTTCCGATCTTTTTTGGTTGTAGCTACCCAATAGATCTTTGGCTTGTCGTAGTCCTGGTTGGTCTAGCGATTGTTTGTTCCTTAGCCGGTTCTCTTCCTTTTTGAGGATTTCTTGGAGGTGCGCATTTCCGATGCCGCAGAATGGTTCTGGCCCAGTGAAGGGAGTGACCGCTCCCGTTTTTGCAAATTCGTCTGCGCATTCATTGCTCTCGACTCCTATGTGTCCAGGAACCCATAGTAGGGTTACTTTGTTTTCCTTCCCCAGCTCATGGATTTTCTGTAGACATTCCCATACTATCTTAGAATTGATTACCGGCGAGCTCAATGCTTTGATAGCTGCTTGGCTGTCAGACATTATTACAATTTCTCGTTTTCGGTACCTTCTGTTCAGATTGAACTGCACGCATTTTCCGATCGCATGAAGTTCCGCTTGGAATATGCTTGGGTGATTTGCCCATTGGCTCCGAGTATCTGGTTCGTGGCCCGAATACTCCGGCTCCTGTCCCCTCAGCAGTTTTGGAGCCGTCTGTGAACCATTTGATGGTGTTTGCTTTAAGGGACTGGATACATTCTATGTTCAATCTGTTCTTTGTACTTAATTCGATGGAAAAGTTTTTCTCGAAACTGAATTTATCAACAATCGCGTCTTATGGTAAGTCCATGAGGTGTGCACAGTTTGGGAGAGGGAAAGCTCTGCCAAAGTGCGTTTTCCCTTGTAGACTTATCTTCGCCAGTCTTAGATATGATTCACTGGCAACCCGCTTCACTATTGTGTGAAGTGGTGTTAGGTCTAGGATGACATACGAGTCTTTGTACCTTTCCTAGGGTTTTCCTAGCCGTTACTAGCTGGGTTTGGCTGTACCAGGCTACCGTTCCGTAGGTGATGATAGGTCTCACTATCATGGTATACATCCATCGTAGGATCGATGGGTTACAACCCCACGTTTTGCCCGCAATGTTTTTACATACCATGAGTGCCGAAATTGCTTTGTTTGGTATGTTCTCTATGTGTCGGTTCCAAAGGAGTTTAGAGTCTAGGGTTATTCCTAGGAATTTAACTTCTTGTTTCCAGTGAAGCGTGCTTCCATCGAGGCGAATGTTCCTCAGGTATGGGAGTTTCGTTCTTTTTGTAAATGTTACCAGTGTGGTTTTTGATGAGTTAAGATTCAGTCCCACAGTCTGACACCATTCCTTCGTGGTTCGGAGTGCTTTTTCTATAAGGTCACAGAATATTCCTTCGTGTTTGCCTCTGGCTATGATGACAATATCATCGGCGTAACCAGGGCAGTTGAAGCCCTGGTCTGTCAGTGTATTTAGTAGATCATTGACTACTAGACTCCACATCAAGGGTGAGAGTACCTCTCCCTGTGGACATCCTCTCGTTGTGGTGACTTGTATGGTTTGTTCCCCCACATACGTTTTTGCAGTTCTGGTGGCTAACGTTTCACACATCCAGGTGGATGTGGTTTTGTCCACTCCTTTTCTGACAAGCGCATTCTTTATTGACTCATGAGAAGTGTTGTCGAAAGCTCCCTCTATGTCTAAGAAGGCGCAGATGGCTACTTCTTTATTCAGCAGTGTGTTTTGGATGCTGTCAGTGAGTTCAAAAATCCGGTTTCTGTTGATCTGCCCGCTCTGTAAGCTGGTTGGTACTTGAGATGGCTTAGGTTATCTTCGGAGAACTGTCCTCTGTAACTAAAGTCACCATTGTTTCTATTTTTAGGCTCCAGAACTCTTACGACGCTACCCGATCCAAGATCACAAAGATTTCCCGATGCCTCTGGATATGGTCTACTTTTGTCAGCCGGAAGGTTGTTCTTCGGTGGGACCCAAACGTACAGCCTTACGAGAAGCCTCTTCGTTCGTGTTCACTTTGACCGACAAAGATTCCGGCAAAACGCGGTACGGAGTTTGCGTCAACTTCTACAGGTCCGTCGAGAAGAGTTCGGGATTGTTTGGATTGAACAAAGCCAGAGCCAATACCGGAATGAGGAGAGATTCGTGGAGAAAGAGCATGGAGAAAAGTTCGGATTCGGCGTTTTCAAGGTAAGAACTGTCGAGTTATTCCAGGAATATGCTTTTAATGTCTTTCCGGTGCCTAAATTATGGGTTAATCTTCAGGTTCAGGAACCTCGTGATGATTCCTGATTGTAACTATGCGCATCAGAGGTACAAGCTGAAATTTTCAAAGAATGAAGATTTTATTATGTTAATTGAAAATCCCAAGGTAATACAAAATCAGAACGGGCAAAAGGCATACATCTCGTAATGGTAGATTAATCGAAATAGCGGGTCAAAATTAGTGGAAAAACACCCTGACACCAATTCCAAATGCCCATTTTGAGCAGAAACAAAAATAAAAAGAAAATCCTATTTTTGGCTCTGGAAAATTTTCCAAATCTTGACATGGTCATGAATAATTGCCCACATCTTTGGTAAATTTCAAGCAAATAAAAATAAATTATACATCATTGGAAAGAGTCCTAAATTCTCTATAAATCTGTGCAAAATTGAGTTCAATAGCTCGGATAGTTTTTGAGCAATTGAGCCTCAAAGTTGACTTTTAGTCCAAATTTTGTCAAAAACTTCAAACTCAATTTGCTCAAAAACTAGAAATCTGGAAATATTGTAAATTACAGGCCATTCAGAACTTGATAAAAGCTACAAATTCTGGAAATTTTAATGCAATTTGCTCAACGGTTACCGAGCAATTGAGGTTCGAATATTTTGAAATCAGAATTCAAAGAGGGTACCATTATGAAAAGTTCGATTTTTTTATTTTTTAGTTTTGCTCAATTTTGACTTTATGAATCGATAGAGCGGGTCAAAACTAGTGGAAAACAATCCTGATATAATTATCAAATGGTCATTTCAAGCAGACACAAAAATAAAAAGAAAATCCTATTTTTGGCTCTGGAAAATTTTCAAAATCCTGACATGGTCATCAACAATTGCCCATATCTTTGGTAAATTTTGAGCAAATTAAAATAAATTATACATCATTGGAAAGAGCCTTAAATTCTCTATAAATCTGTGCAAAATTGAGTTCAATACCTTGGATAGTTTTTGAGCAATTGAGCCTCAAAGTTGACTTTTAGTCCAAATTTTGTCAAAAACTTCAAACTCAATTTGCTCAAAAACTAGAAATCTGGAAATATTGTAACTTACAGGCCATTCAGAACTTGATAAAAGCTACAAATTCTGTAAGTTTTAATGCAATTTGCTCAACGGTTACCAAATAATTGAGGTTCGAATATTTTGAAATCAGAATTCAAAGAGGGTACCATTATGAAAAGTTCGATTTTTTTATTTTTTAGTTTTGCTCAATTTTGACTTTATGAATCGATAGAGCGGGTCAAAATTAGTGGAAAACAACTCTGATATAATTAGCAATTTTAAGCAGACACAAAAATAAAAAGTAAATCCTATTTTTAGCTCTGGAAAATTTTCAAAATCCTGACATGGTTATAAACAATTGCCCATATCTTTGGTAAATTTCAAGCAAATTAAAATAAATTATACATCATTGGAAAGAGCCCTAAATTCTCTATAAATTTGTGCAAAATTGAGTTCGATAGCTCGGATAGTTTTTGAGCAATTGAGCCTCAAATTTGCCTTTCAATCCAAATTTTGTCAAAAACTTCAAATTCAATTTGCTCAAAAACTAGAAACCTGGAAATATTGTAAATTACAGGCCATCCAGAACTTGATAAAAGCTACAAATTCTGGAAATTTTAATGCAATTTGCTCAACGGTTACCGTTCGAATATTTTGAAATCAGAATTCAAAGAAGGTTTATTGGTTCTGATTTTGTATTACCTTGGGATTCTGAATTAGCATAGTAAAACCTTCATTCTGTGCAAGTTTCAGCTTGTAACCCCGATGCGCCCACAAAACTCATTTCAAGAAGGCTTTAACTGCGTTGGGCACTCTACTATATAAAGAAAATACCAATAATTGCAGTCTTGAGAGTTTCCTTGTTTGTTCTGAACTATGAATTTTTCCTTAAGCACCTTATGCTTTTTTATAAATCCAAGCTCTGAGCTACAAATCATTTTTTTTTGACTCAGCGACTATAGAAGTAGCAACATAGGACCAAGCGACTCAGAAAAAGATTATCCACCCAGTAGACGTGACTCCGAATCGACTGCTCCAAACACTCTACCATCGTCGAGACTGGCAGTTGGAGGCGGCAACGACTCAGAAAGCGGCGGCAGTCATTCTCCGTCGCCCAGAGCCAGCCGTCGTCGACAAAGGATCAGAAATCATTCGCTGACGTCGCTATGCATCCTGTCGCATCATCCGTTCTTCACCATGTTTCGAGAGTGTTTGTTCATTTTGAAAAAACTAATCGACGCGTGCAACGAGTCGTCCAATCCTAGACGAGTTGGTGCATCGAAACAAACATCCAGGTTTGTTCCAGAAAAAGTGTCTTCTTTATTTAATAATGGGTTGTTTTAGGGATAGTGTTTGGAGCGTACTGACTGGACTGGCTACAGATGGAGCTTCGTCCATAGTGCTTCACGATGTTCGGGAAATCGAAACCTGGATTTTGAAGTTGTTGTCAGCTCCAGTGCCTATACCTGGAAAAACTAAGTGAGTTTTTCAACTGGATTATTTAGAGTCATACCTACTAAGAGAAGTATTTCAGATAGAGAACTTTAATATACTTTTATTGTTATAGAGTCGAAGTTGAAGTACTATCTCCCAGCGTATACGAACCTCTAGTATTCGCCTTACCGAATCACACGCGATTCACCCTAGTCGATTTCCCATTACACTTACCCTTAGAACTACTAGGTAAACAAATTCGCACTAAAAAACAGCATATTTATCAATAAATATTTTTAGGTGTAGAGACTTGCCTCAAAGTCCTAACGATAATCTTACTAGAAAACAAAGTGGTGTTTCAGTCGCGAGACTACAACGCACTTTCGATGTCCGTGTTGGCGTTTGTGACCATGATTTATCCCTTAGAATATATGTTTCCTGTGATTCCCCTGTTGCCAACTTGTATGAGCTGCGCAGAACAGGTAGGCGCATCAATAATAATTGTTTAAACACAAATTTTAATTGTTAATGTTTCAGTTGCTACTCGCACCTACTCCGTATGTGATAGGCCTTCCTGTTAGTTTTCTGATGTATAAGAAAAACTTCAGATTGCCAGATGATGTGTGTTTAGTGGACTTGGATTCAAACAAATTACACTCCCCCACTGAAATTCCGCCTCTACCTGAACCGGAAGGAACTATATTGAAGAATCACTTAAAACAGGTAATTATTATATATTTTTAATGAGTGTCTTGCTTTTAAAAGGAAATAAACTTTTGTACATACACTTTCTTTTTTCACGTGATTTTTAAAAGAGTTTTTTGAATTTTTGTGCAAAAAAAGGCAATGCAGCTTATGGACCAAGTTGGCACCGGAGTAAATAAATTTTTTTACATTCTATGCATCCCCTACTTTTTTTTAGTTGAGTCTTAATATTTGATTTTTGTTATTTTTGACTGTAGCGCTATTTTTTTCAATCTAGTGTAGATGTTGAAGCTTGTTGCTCATCAATAGCACTATTATTTACAAATTTTCTAACTCAAATTTCCGCGTATAGGCGATATCAAATTTGTCGACTCCAAGCAATAACAGCGCCCACCTTCAACCTTCAAGAAGAAACAGTATTACAACCTCGCCTAACACTTTAGGGTAAGAATTTCATTATAAATCCTGAAAATTGAATTTAAAACAATCTATTCCATCTAAGGGTTGGTGGTTCTACCTTATCAAAATCACCTGAAATGTCCTCACCTTCAGCTGCATCACCCAACCAGAGATTATCGTTAACACCCCAATCACCGATACCTCCACAAAGTCCACGTATTTTTTCGCCAACCACTCAACAAGGCTTCAACCCGTTTATTTATGGAAACGATGTTGATTCAGTGGACGTGGCTACACGAGTGGCAATGGTTCGTTTCTTCAACTCCCAAAATCTTTTGGCCAACTTCACCGAACACACCCGGACATTGCGTTTATACCCGCGCCCGGTGGTCGCATTCCAAATAAACAGTTTCCTAAGGTCCCGTCCTAGAGCCTCGCAGTTTCTCAACAAATTCGCTCGGACCCAAGCCGTTGAATTTTTGGCCGAATGGTGTCTAACTCCCACCAACGTAGCGTTCCAACGAGTCCACACCGGAGTGCTGGATCCGAGTTTGATAGGTGACAAAGCCAAATGGTTCTTGCATCAATTGGAACCCATTAAATTCGTTGTTTGGGACGATGGTAGCTCGTTGAATGGTGCCTTGAGGAGTATTCAAGCTCAAGAGAGTCAACCTACCGACGAGAGCGGTTCAGATTCGGAAGAAGGCGAAAGCACTAGCTCTAGTTATTCGTCTCTGAGCGATTTTGTGTCAGAAATGGCTTCTTCTGATCTATCGCCTGGATATTTGTCGTATCACGACCAAAGGAAGGCTTCAGCTCAAAGTATGACGTTCTCATCAAACATCGACGCTGAAAGCATTTATAAGCCTCCTTCTGAGCTCAAATATCCTGATGGTGAAATGCCTACAGCTGCAAGACCTGACTCACCTGCTTCATCGAGTTCTTCAAGCTCCGACTCTGATCTGAGCTCCCCATCGTTCAACCGAGACTCCGAATTTGAGTTTAACAAAAAAGAAAAGCTCAACAATGAATCTGATTCAAACTCTACCACCACGCCGAAGACGATTGTCAGTAACAACCAAAAATCCGACAATTCATCGGCAGACGGCGACAATAAAACGATAACGGCCAAAAAATCCAGAAAAGTGCCTCCCCTCACGCCGGCGCCGTTGCAAAAACAGCCCAGCGTTGGCAACGTTTTTTCGAAAACTTCCAGCGTGGGCTCTTCAGGTACACAGAGCCCAGGCGCGCTGCATTCGGCAAGCAGCGTGGGAAGTGGAGGAATCACCAGACAAAGCTCACAAAACTCCTTATTCGAAAGGTTCGCTTCTGAGGCAAAGGAACTGGTGCGAGAAACCACTAGGCAGAGTAGTCAGGATGGACTTTTGGCTCAAATGGATAAGGTAGGACTAGGAATATATTCTGAAAGTTACTCCAAGTTACACACTTTACTTACACGGCAGTTTACACAACTATTTTCATTTCTAGTTGAAAACACAAGCTAAAGAAAAACTTAATGAAGCTGAGGAAAGTCATATTTTTGCTCCCTTTGACAAGGTTTGTCCATTTACAGTTTTCAGAAACACATTTAGTGCCTAATTAGAGTTCAACTTAGCAGCTAGCGCTTCTTCACCAATTTACATAAGTAATATACTGTTTAGGATATGTTCTTAGTTTTTGTATGTTTCCTAGCTGACAATTCAAGCCAAAAAAGCAGCTGGAGAAGCATCAAAAAGCGTACAGGAAGCTAGCAAAACAGCTACAGCTATGAGCAAAAACACCATAGACGATCTCACTTATGTTGGCAAGTCTACGTTTGGAGATTTGACAAAATCAGCAAAAGAATCTGTGGCAATGAAGCATCTGTTACGAGTAATATGATCAAAATTGACTATTGCATTTGATTATTATTGATTCTTTTAGGGTGACTCTTTCAACAAAAACGATTCGAGACGCGAATCAACAACAAGCTCGACATCGATGGTAGCTCATTCGGCTCTGGCAGGCGCCGGTAGAGATTTTTTCACAAACATTCAATCCGACTTGAACGGTTTGGCTTCGAGCACTACCAGCATGTTCACCGATTTATTCGGTAGTAAAAAGGACAACGCCAGGCAGGAACCGCTAACGCAAAAACCTAAAGAAGTCAAGACTAGTTTGTTTGGACCTTTCCAGAGGGGGTCCAAAGGGATTGTGGAAAAGAGTCCTTTGATCAGGCACGTGCCTAAAAGACAGGACGAAATGCAGAGGAGGCAGAGCATCGATAAAACCACTACGAACAGTGATAATCAAGCGTTTCTTAAAGATGTGAGTTCGATTTTTTATTTACAGATTGTTATCCACTTATTATATACAGGGTGTCCTGACATACATACTCAATAAATCCTGAAAGTCCCTCTGATTGCTTGAAGTAATTTTCACAATCAGTAGCTTTCAAAGATGATTTGATAGAAATTTTACATTTCTTTGAATCTAAGTGTCAAGTGCGAAAAAATTAATAATTCCACTTCTGAGCATAAAATTAATTCGCGGTTTGTTCTGTTTAATAAAAAGGCCCTACTCAATAAATCTTGAAAGTTTGTAGTCCCTCTGGTTGCTGGAAGTATTTTTCAGAAGCTCCCAATGATGATTTTGTGAGACCCCAAATATAGAAACTTGGCAAGATGTTAAATTGGCGAGCGGTGACTTTAGTTTCTGAGTGGAGACACAGTTTAAAATAGGTCCTATTTGCGGGTGGAGAAAATTTATATGATTCCAAGTAGAAATTTTTATTTACAGTTTGACTCGATTCACACTCTTGCCTTCACAATTTCCGGCTGAACATAAAAAACTACTTACATTTAACAATAATATATTTATTGCTGGCCACACCTAATTACATGGAAATATTATTGGTCGAAGGAATTTACTTTAATTATGAACACTTAATAAAAAACTCGAATATTTTCGCGCTGTTATTTCACGTCGTGTTTCTTTTCTCGGTTAATTCGACAACTCTTTCACGCCGTAGTTCTGACTTTCTGGACACAGGTTTCTCGATTCTCGATTACTACTTGTTTCTTGATTACTCAACCGACACTGGTCCTTCACGCCGTAGTTCTGCCGGTTTTACTCGCTCTTTCTCGAACACTGGTATTCTCGAACACTGATTTTGTCCTGCCAAAGTTGCCTTTTTATATCATTGGTCCCTCCATTGTCTTGAATTTCTTTATTGTTTCTGACCTTGATTTTTCGTGGTTGAATCATCCGATCAATTAGTGTGTTTGGTCCCTTTTTAATTAATTATCAAGGACGTCGCTAAGTGGTTTGTTAAGTGGGTATCATCATATAGGCTCGTGCATGATTTATTGATCCTTTTAGACATTTTTCGGCTCCTTTGGAATGTTAATTGTTGAAAGCACTTAAAAAAAAGGTCAATGAACTTTTGCTTTATTCACATTCCAATGTATTAGTCAATATAGGGTATCGGCTTTCAATAATTTCTGGATATCGATGTTCAGATAATTTATAATTGAAGTTTCTGGTTGTGCTGTCTAAGTGATTATCTCTCCTGGGATGGTTCTTTGGTAAGTCCTTGTTATTCTTGATTAATTTTCGGTAGTTGGATCCTAGGTCTTTTAGTTGTTTAGAATAATCAGAACCTTTAATTGTTTTCTTGGTGGTTTATTTCCGCATCACTACAATTTAATAGAAATTTTACATGATTTTTCTGCATCTTAGTGAGAAAAAATTCTAATTCCATTTCTGATGATCCTGAGATCCATTCGCGGTTTGTTCTGTTTGATAAAAATACCCTATTCAAGAAATCCTGAAAGTTTGAAGTCCCTCTGATTACTTGAAGTATTTTTCAGAAGTTTCCAAACGCGATCCAATAGAAATTTTGTATCATTTTTTTGCATCTAAGTGAGAAAAAAATCATAATTCCATTTCTTTGAAAAGACCCTACTCAAGAAATCCTATGAAAGTTTGAAGTCCTTCTGATTGCTTGTATTTTTCATTTTCTTAAGAAAAACATAAAACTTTAAATTTTTGTTTCAGATTGTTACTAACGTTTTGGACGGTGAAGGTGTCGGCTGGCTCAAACTGAATCGCCTCAAAAAACTAATGGAAGAAGAAACCTACCGAAATTTCGTTTTGGGCAAAATCAACAAGACTTTCGACAAAAAAATCGCACCCGACGACCACATTGACGATGTGGTAAGTATGCTTTACTCACAATAATCTTTACATAATTTTTCAATAATTACTTAGTGCATTCCAAAACCAGTCTGGAAAGGTATGCTAAAAATCCTCCAAGCCGTGCAACACGGCTTGGAAGTAACCTACAGCAATTACGGTCTTGGTGGTATGGCTTCGGTGTTCCAAATGCAAGAAATCGCCCACACGCACTATTGGACTAAAGATGTTGCTGACCCAGGTTTGTCGTCTGATATTACGCAAACTTCCAGTCCGAAATCCCCTCAAAGTCCACGATACTCCTTGCAATCTTCAGATTGGGAGAATGAAAGTAGAAAATCGTCTCAAGCAGGTAACAATTCTCCCAATTATCTCTGAAGTTTTTAAATTAATATTTTGTTTTAGAACCTCCAGAAGTTCGATTAATCCAGGAACTTGAATCAGACAAAGAACAAACGACCACAGACATATTCAAAGACATGATAACTCAAAAGAAAAACCTATTGTTAAGCAAACTAACATCTTTTGATTCAGATGTAAGTTTTTAGGGCACATAAATCAATGTAACACTCAATTTATATTATTCATAGCTCGAAGGTACTCTTCAAGGTTCAGGCGGTACCGTATCCCCAGGATCAATAACAGCGGGCCCTGCCAGTAATCTGCACAGGGGCGGCAATCAATCATCGTTCAGATCTACAGTGTCAGACACTGAAGTCGAAACCCTTCAATTCCCGAAGCTCCCAAAACATCGCACCTCGAGCGTCTGGTCGAGCAAATCCTCATTGAGCACAGGATTCCGGTATCACGGAGGTCACATTATCAATACGGTGACCTCCCCATCGCCCGACACTATCCGAACTTACTTGTTCGAAGGACTTTTGGGCAAAGAACGTTCGAATTTGTGGGATCAAATGCAGTTTTGGGAAGACGCTTTTTTGGACGCTGTATCGCAAGAACGCGACATGGTTGGAATGGATCAAGTGAGGAGTTTTTTTCATTAATTTGAATTAAGTTGAAAGATGTTTGTTTTAGGGTGCACGTGAAATGATGGAAAGATACAAAGGGCTAAGCGATACGGAACGGAAACGGCTCGAGCATGAGGAAGATAGACTGTTGGCCACTTTTCTTTATAATTTGACTGCAGTATTGATCAGCCTCAATTGTAATAAGGAGGAAATTAAGCGGAAAATTCGGAGGTTGTTGGGGAAAAGTCATATTGGACTCGTTTACAGTCAAGAGATTAATTCTTTGCTGGATCAAGTTCAGAATTTGGTAAGAATTTATAATAATAATAATATAGAAGCATAATTATTTGCTCCACCGAAGATGTCGCAATTTGTCTCTAATTTATGGGTTCATATTCAGGTTCAGGAACCTCGTGAAATTTAATTATTTCCAATTATCACGCTCTACACCTTCTTCTATCCATATATAATAATTCTTGGAATACATAGGTAAAACAAATAAAATTCCTTTCAGAACGGTAACGATATCGATTTGAAACCGCTGGGTTCGCGTTCGATGCACCGTCAAAGTTTCACCGTGCACCACGGCACCGATTGCACGGGCGATTTGCGTTTCATGGAGGTCCGAGACGACGGTCTGGTCATAAGATCAGTGAACGGGATCATCATTGAGCGATGGTGGTTCGAACGGCTCGTCAATATGACCTACAGTCCCAAAAACAAAGTGCTCTGTTTGTGGAAACGGACTGGAGGACAGACGCAAGTCCACAAATATTATACTAAGAAGGTAAGTTGGGAAGTTGTATTGTAACTGTAGAGATCAGTAAAGGTGCAACACCGGTTCTTGCACAAAATCGACCATTTTTACATCTAAATCTCCATAAGAAATTCTAAGGTCCATTCTGCACTTTTTTGTACCATTTTGTAGTGGGGATAAAATTTTCAGGAATAAGTTCCATCCCCTTTCCAGTGCCCGTGTCTTTCATCGATCGCACTAGCTGATTAGTCACCGCTGCTTCAGGGTCATTGGCCCCAAGCGGCTCATCGAACCCACATAGCACCTCGAGACTTGGTTCCCCATTCAAGGTGCCTCGTACTAATGATGACGTAACTTATATATAAAATCGTAGTTTCGCCATCGTTTCATCATCGTCGTCGTCGTCGATGTTAGTCACTTGAAATAATTTCTATATTGAAATAAGTCTGCTACTTCCGAGGATCGAACCTGGGACCACTGCGTGAAAGTCAAGTGCGCTAACCTATAAGCCCATCTTGTACTTGAAAATATTCCGGTTATAATCTTCCACTATCCGCAACAGAATTCTAGGAAAAATCACGCCAAAATAGGCGCACTACAGAAGTTTACTGATCACTTTCAACAAGTCACTCGAACTAGCGGCGATTTTGATCTAAATACTAGCGAAAGCCTGTTCTTTAATTTATATCAAGTCACTAACCACATTTCTTGTTGAAACTTGCTTATCGTAGGATGGCGACATAAACAACAATGAAATTGTAACGATGGCTCATATTTCTAGGAAAAGTTCGCTGGAGTGTGCAGGTGGATACGAGGCAGCTGATTGGCTAGAGACTAGTCAGAGCTTGTTTATCGCAAGAAAGTAATAAGTTATGGTTTCGCAGCGGTTACGATAAATGTTATTTCGATATTATATTTGCGTGTTCACTATAAGCAGTAGTAGGTCTTAGAAGTTCAATTTATACTTTTTCGTTTTATTTATTATTTTTTAGCCTATATATGTAGATTTTTCCTAGAATTATATGTTGCGGATAGTGAAAGAATATAGCTGGAATATTTTCAAGTACAAGATGGCTTATCGGTTAGCGCACTTGACTTTGTCCCAGGTTCGATCCTCGGAAACAGCAGATTTTTTTTAATACAGAAATTATTTCGAGTGATGCAGCGGTAACTAACTAGCTAGTGCGATCGATGAAAGACACGGGCACTGGAAAGAGGACGTGACCTGGAACCCCTCCAAAATGGTTCAAAAAAATGCAGAATGGACCTTAGATTTTCTTATGGAGATTTACATGTTAAAATAACCGATTTTGCGCTAGAACCGGTGTTGCACCTTTACTGAGATCATCCAGCAATTCAACAGCTTGTAATAATCGAAATTGAAAAACTTTGTCCAAATGTATTAATAATCAACTTCTGTTTCAATTTAGTGCAAGCAAGTTTACTATTGCATAAAAGAAGCAATAGAACGTAGCGGTTCAATACAAACAGGTCCGGAATTGGGTGGTGAATTTCCTGTACAAGATATGACGACAGGAGAAGGTGGGCTGTTGCAGGTTTGCATGGAAGGAGTGGGCCTTTTGTTTGCCACCAGCAAGGTAGGTAAAAATTTACCCCATCCCTCATTTACAGTTTATATAAAACATAATTATTATATATTCAACAAATTCGCTTTGGATCAACAAAAAAAAAAAATAATTTCATAATTTTATTGAAATAATTAATTCGAATATTTATTTAATTTTTGTTCTTTGCCCTGTGATGTGCATTTTATTTTTATTTATTTATTTTTTTGTGCAAGGACCACTCAAAACTTTCCTATTTGCTGCGCCACTCTTTTTTATATTCTTAGAATTATTGTAATTTTTTTTGTCGTCCATCGTATAGGCATGCAACTTGTTTTCGGATAATATTGTATTTTTGTACTTTATTATTATATTAATAATATTTTCTTGGCCTTTGGATGGTGGTTGCAAAAATTCGAAAGCATGAATTTATTTAGGGACATTTCATTAATCGATTTCAAGTATTTTTGCAAGCGACTTTTGTTGTCGATTATCTTATTTAAAAGTAAAAGTGACAAACTGCGCATTATATGTACGAAACCTTTTAATCGAGAATTCTTGTTTGTTCATTGAGAACTAATTCCTGAATATTACTCCAGGGAAATTGGAATTTCTCTGCGGAAAGAGGCCGAACAAACTGAATTTTTGCAGAGATCTTCGTTTTGATGTTCTAGTGAAGCACCAAAAAATCTCATATGCCTACCCTTGTGCGTCTTGAGATATCGAAGGTCAAAGATCATGAAAATCGTTTTTTGCAAAAACCTCGCTTCTAGTGCATCTGACGTCAAAGAACTCGAAACAAAACTCTCGTAAAATAGTCTTTTCTACAAAATTGCTCATACACATTTTTTCCGTACGACCAACCGTTTTCGAGATATAGCGTAATAAAGCAGGAGGGGGCATTCAAAATAGGTAATACTGTATTATACTGCGGAGTTATAACTATAAATGAATTTTTCCTAATCTGTTAGTCCGAAAAATGAAGCTTTCAATAATAATTAATTATACCACAAGGCCGTTAGGTGGAGTGGTATAATTTCTCGAGTGACTGAAAGCATAACACACGAGTGGCATACAATTTTTAAATTTCCTGACGTTTTTGCGGTGTCGTTATAAGAGAGTGAGTTATTTGATAGTCTACCGGTCCAAATTGGCACAAAATGACTCTTATAACTAGCAGGTGTTTTTCAACATTATCATTTTTTGCACATGCCTTGTCTTCGTCTGGTTCCACTAGCACCTCGATCAACAAATTATCATCGTCAAACCATTCTTCTATATGTAAACGTACCTATAGCCACCGCACTAATACCAACGCTGTAAACCTAGCTTACGCAGTATCAAGTTTTGGGAACCCGGCCCAAGAGAGGAGCAGACGTCAATCAGCAAACGAGGTGACAACAACGGGTCGTGCGGTGCTATTATTTCTTTACATACATTTTTTCTGTTTGTTATAAACTTTAGTTCATTAATTCCAGTAGGTATATTTGCATTATAAACTTAGTAGTTTTTATAGATAGCAGCGGCGGGATGGTTTACGTGCTTTTAGTTACAAACGAAAAAAAAAAAAAAATGCCAAGTGACTTATTTTTCTTTGTTGGCGACTGTTAGATAATGATTCGTAAATGTGTTATGTCTGGACTAATTATAACGGAAACACACGTAAGTACTTCATACGATTGATACTTAAACGATTTTTCTATCTTATGCGCGAATTAATTGACGTATAATATTAATTCTTCGCATATTGAACCTCAGACTTACCCTTTTTCTTTCTTAATCACGTACGTGCCGGAATATTTGAACTAGGCTGACTCATATCGAAGTGGTGTGTTGTTGTTGGACCCTCTGTTGTAATTTTTTGCCGCTGACGGTGATCGAAGTACGCAAATTTCAGCTTAGGTTTATTTTAAGTTTTTTGTTTGTTGAGATATATATAACTTATTGCTGCTGAAAATCTACGAAATCGTACGTTGACACTGGATGCGGAGCAGTCCTAATCAAAGAAGAAACAGCATACCAGTTTTAGCTAAAATGGAATCCTTGTACAATTTCCATATTGAGATAAAGAGGGTTTTCTATCAAAAGCTTGGTCAAAATCAACATAAACCTGAAAGTGGAAGAAGCTGACGACAACATAAAAGCTTTGATCGTACCTAACGAGGCTCAGCATATCCCTGTATTGGTTGGCCAGTCATTTTTAAATTCCAAAAAGACAACAATGGTTGTTAGTGGTGAAGCCGTGCGAATCATGAGAGCTCAAGACAGCTCGGTGAGCATAAAGCCAGGAAACATTCCTTTGTGGGCTAAGGAGTCCACTGTCATACCATCAAGAACAACTGCATTGGTTGCGGCAACCTCAAGGTGTGCCCTTAATGATGATGTCTTAGTCCAGGGCGGATTACGCCCACTTTCGCTTAGAGAACACAAAATCAACGACCACAAGATGGTTACATCAGCATCACCAATCTATCCTCAGAAGAACTAACGGTAAGTTCTAAAAATGTTTTAGTTAGGGCAGTGGCATGTTTTAAAGACATATTTTTACTAACTTGTCAATCTTTGCATACGTCCTCTATCGGGGAAAGTAGTTTTAATGTTGATGAAATCACAGCAAATAAAAACCTAGCCAAGCAGGAACTTAGATTTATTGGTTAATATAATTAACGAATTCTAGGATTGTTTTGCTCAAACTACAAGTCAGCTTGGCAAAACAGACATATTAAAAATGTCATTTCACTGTAGTATATAGACCATACCGCCTCTCTTACAATGAACGGCAAGTTGTAAGAGGCATTGTTGATGATTTGCTGAAAAATAATATTATACGCGAATCTAACTCTCCCTGCGCAAGTCCAATTCTTCTAGTTTAAAAGAAAAATGGAGAGCAGAGGATGTGTGTGGACCATAGGGCACTGAAAGCTAAGACAGTTAAGGATAAGTACCCCCTTTCACTCGTTGACGAATTTTTAGAGAACCTCAAGGGATGTAAATACTTTAGTAGCCTAGATTTATCCAGCGGATATCACCAATTGCAACTAGAAGAGTCTTCAATTCAAAAAACAGGTTTCGTGACGCCAGATGTGCACTACGAATATCTGAGAGTTCCCTTTGGTTTGTGTAATGCATCTTCAGTATTCGACAGGTTCATAAACAAAGTACTGGGTAATCTTAGATACGGCAAAGCATTGGCATATTTGTCCTGCTACCATCCTCAGCTTTTGAAAGTGGATTGTCAAAGCTGAGAGAAGTTCTCGAGTCAATGAGAAATCCTGGTCTTACGCTAAGGCTATCCAAGTGCCAGTTTTTCATGGAAAGAGTTGATTACTTATCGGCCATGAAATATCCAGTCAGAGAGTTCAACCAGGAAAAAGCAAAACTGAGGCAGTAGAAAAGTTTCCTGTACCAACGGATGTTCGCACGGTGCGGCAGTTCTTAGGACTTGCTAGTTACTTCAGGAAATATATTAAAGATTTTGCAACGATAGCAAGACCTTTAACTGTCTTAACGAAAAAAGACATGGCGTTTACATGGGGTGACGAACAACGAATAGCGTTCGAAACCCTGAAAAGTATTCTTATAACACGACCGTTGCTAGCCATCTATGATCCTGATTTGAAGACTGACGTTCATACAGATGCTTCGAAATGGGGAGTTGGAGGAATCTTGCTACAAACACAAAAAGATGGAAGCTTAAGACTTCTCATGTACTTCTCAAAGCAAACAACGAAAGAGGAGCAACGTCACCACTCCTACGAGTTGGAAACAATGGCTGTACTGTTCTCGTTAAAAGCATTTCGAATTTACCTTATAGGCATTGAGTTTAAGGTAGTCACTGATTGCAATGTCATAAGAATGACTTTGTCAAAACGAGATTTGGTTTCAAGAATCGGCAGGTGGTGGCTAAGCATACAGGCATTTAAATTCAACGTTGAATATCGTCCAGGACAGCGCATGTTCCATGCAGATGCCTTAAGTAGAAATCCAATATCTTTAGATATTGCTGCATGCATAGTAAACCTATACAACACAGATTGGGTGTTAAGTGCAACAACTTGTTTTTGAGTCACCATGTATACATGATAATATCATCAAAAAAACTATCACTAAGATCACAAATCGACGTGTCCGAAGTTTTTAAAAAAATATCAACCCTGTATATTTTATGGATTTTATTCCAACCTTTACGTGCTCACTGTATATCTATTGGCTTTATGTCTGTTGGAAAAACCTCTCTAGGCTCAAACTCACTGAAGACTTCGACGTTAAGCAACTCTGCTAACGGGTTCAGGCATGCCTGAACACATGGATTAGGCCTACTGGGGATACAATTTCAAAAAAAAAAACCGCCCTGCATGCTACTGAGAATTTGAGGTCCTTATCGACTGTCAATTGGAGAGTAAGAAAAATGGTAAACGACTTGTTAGATGCTGATATCATACAAGAATCAAATTCGCCATATTCCAGTCCAATTATCCTTGTTAAAAAGAAAAATGGCGAGACTCGGATGTGTGTGGATTACATGGCTTCAAACAGCAAAACCGTTGTTGTTTAAAGCCATGTTATCTTTTACTACGTGAGGACGATCAACTGGAAATGTTGAAAGGCTGCAAGTTTTTCACCACTCTTGACATGGAAAGTGGTTACCATCAAATTGGCGGAAGCTTCTAGAAGAAAGACATCTTTTGTGACTCCACATAATCAATATGAATATCTGAGGATGCCATTTGATCTTGTTAATGCTCCGGCTATGTTTCAGCGCACTTTTAACCAAATTTTGGGCTCAATGATATTTTCTACCGCTCTAGCTTACATGGATGACATTTTAGTCCTCTCTACTAGTATCACGTCAGGTCTAATGGCATTGGGTGACATGTTAAAGATTTTTCGAGAGGCAGGTGTTACTTTACAATTGGAAAAGTCTCAATTTTTACAAAACAAAATTGATTATCTTGGTCATGAAATCAGTTCTGAACCCACTAGACCAGGGTTAGAAAAAATCAAGGCAATGGAACGTTTCTCTGTACCTAAGAACGTGCATCAAGTACGGCTTTGCAGTTATTTCCGCAAATATGTGAAATGTTTTTCTCAGTTAGCACGCCCACTCACATCTCTCACAAAAAAAGATGTTACATAAGAATGGGATTACGCACAGAACAACGCGTTCATTTTATTGGAGAAAATATTGGTTGAGAGACCCGTTCTAGCTATTTACAATCCATCCCTCGAAACAGAATTACACACAGATGCATCAATACTTGGTCTTGGAGGTATCTTGCTTCAAAAGCAAGGTAACAAGAATTTAAAGCCTGTTATGTATTTCAGTCGACAGACAACTAAGGAAGAACAAAAGTACCATTCTTATGAATTGGAGACGCTCGCTATTGTCAATTCTTTGCAAAGATTTCGGATATAGGTACCATCGTCACCAAAAGTATCTGGGACACAAATAATGCATAATAATCTCCTGGACTAATTCTACTGTCATTCATTTCAATGCATTTAATGCATAGTTTGACAAATATTTGACGATAAAATTCATATAATAGGACAAGAGCTAATGTGATGCTGTCCCAGTTACTTTTGGTGACGATGGTACTTACTTGGGTTGAAGATCAAAATCGTAACGGATTGCAATGCTTTAAGAACGGCGAGACCTAATTCCACGAATAGGAAGATGGTGGTTGATAACCTAAGAGTTCAACGTTGTCGAATTCAGACCTGGATCAAAAATGGCTCACGTTGATTCACTCGATACCCTTCAGAAAAGCCAAATGAAACAAATCAGGCGAAAGATCTGATATCATATATTTTATTATAAATAAACAAATTTATAACAATTTTATTATTGGAAGTTTTATTTTCCGGACTAATAATAGATCAGGGAAAAAGCATTTATAGTTATAGGTCCGCAGTATAATACAGTATTACCTATATGAATGCGCGGTCCCGCTTTATCACGCTGTATCTCAAAAACGGTTGGTTGTATGAAAAAAAATTATTTAAGCAATTTTGTAGAGAATACTATTTTACGTAAGTTTTGTTTTGAGTTCTTCGACGTCATATGCACTGGAAGCGAGATTTTCACGGAAAACCGATTTTCATGACCTTTGACCTTTGATATCTCAAGACGCACAAGGGTAGACATATGAGATTTTTTGGTGCTTCATTAGAACATCAAAACGAAGGTCTCTGCAAAAATTCAGCTTGTTCGGCCGCATTCCGCAGGGGATCTTTTTTTTTGTCTTATTTTCCTGGGGTAAATTCCCGCACAATGTTGTGAGTCAGTTAAGTCAGCCCCTTCTCCCCCCACTGAATTTTTCTAAATTAAACATATCCCATAATTTTGTTCCACTTATTATAATTTTTGTACCACTACAGTGGAGAGACTATGTGGCCTATTAAGTGGGAGGGGAGCTGAATTATCGCTAGTCCCCCACTAAAAATTTCAATATTTTCAAATGCTCATATTTTGTTCTCCTAGTTTTGCTCAATTTTGTTCCATGATCGGCGAATTTTGCTCAATTACCTATAATGTGCTACAGAGCTCCTACGAATCTCTCCTAGCCCCCCCACCCCTGGAAAATCTTTGAGGTTTTCATATGCTCGTTCGATTCTCCAAGTTTTGCTCCATATGATCGACGAGTTTTGCCCCATTACCTGGAGTGAGGTACAGAGCTCCCAAGAATCTCTCCTAGTCCCCGTCCCCCCCCCCCCCAGTGATAATTTCGAAGTTTTAATATGCTCATTTTATTCTTTGAGTTTTGCTCCATGATCGGCAAGTATTACTCTATTACCTGGAATAACTTACACAGCTCTCAAAAATATCTCCTACTTCCCTTAGTGAAAATTTTGTTCCATTACCTGGAATGACCTACAGGGCTCCCAAGAATATCTCCTAGTAAAAAAATTTATTTTTGTAGCTCCATTCTAATAGAATTTTATTTAAATAACCAGTGCAAAACAAAATGTTTCTTTTCTATCATTGTTTGTTACATAGTACCTACCTAGTAGAAAGAGATACAAATACACTTGCCCACTAAATGTATCAATAGAATTTCATATTAAGGAGGCGTTAATGACATTTTGGAAAAGAAAAAAAAAAAAGAAAAAAAAAACTCAAATCAGATTTGCCTGAAATCTGGCATAGACATTCTTTGATCCATTATCTACAATTCGTATATGTTAGTTTTTCGATAACTTGCGTTTTTCTCAAAATGCAAGAGTGTGTACATATCTGGTTGCCTATTTTTCAGGATCTAGGTATTTATGGATTATTTCCAAGAACTCGCAAAATATCGAAAAACCAAAATAATCGGATTGTAGCTAATCGATCAAAGAATGTCTATGCCAAATTTCAGGCAATTCTGATGTGAGGCTTTTTTTTCCTTTTCCATAACAGATTTGGTAAAATCAACCGATCAGGATCTGAGCAAAAAACTCATAGATTTCAAATGTTATTGCGCCCTTGAAGAGAATGCGGCTGAACACCATTAAAAAAAATAAAATTTTTTGATCCTTTTCTCTCATGTGCTACAAGAAAAAGGCTTCTCAGTGCGTAAGAATCGTAGGGTACCTTAGCGCATTGGGTTAAATTTAAAATAAAAAATCATCATATAGAAATATTTTGTTTTGCACTGGTTCTTTGAATAGAGCTCGAATATAGTGGAGCTACAAAAATACTCGGTGCCACTCAAAAAAAAAATACTGGAAGAGCTAGGAGAGTTTCTTGGGAGCCCTGCAGGTCATTCCAGGAAATGAAGCAAAATTTTCACTAAGAGAAGTAGGAGATATTTTTGAGATCTCTGTAAGTTATTCCAGGAAAAGGAGCAAAACTTGGAGAATAAAATAAGCATATAGAAACTTCAAAATTTTCATTAGGATGGGGGGGCTAGGAGAGATTCTTAGGATCTCTGTAGCTCATTCCAGGTAATGGAGCAAAACTAGGAGAATAAAATGAGCATTTGAAAATATTGGGGGGGGGGCTAGCGTTAATTTAGCCCCTCTCCCACTTGGTAGGCCACATAATGTCTCCACTGTAGTGGAGCAAAATTATGGAAAACGTTTCATTTAGAAAAATTCAGTCAGCCCCTCCTAACTTAACTGACCCCAATTTTGTTAGTCTTTGGTTCTGAATAAGTCTATCATAGCGGAAATACCAAAATGAATATCGTTGAATTATTGTATTCAATTAAATTCTTGATGTTCCTATACCCAAACTAATTTATTTAAATTTAATTTTTTATTATCTTGCATGCAGCTCAATGTGCCATCTATTTATTATTTATTTTTATATTATTATATAATCTTTTTTTATATATTTTTTTTGATATGCTTTTTGATGTTTTCTCTTCTTCTATTTCCTATGAGTGGTCAATATTTTATTATGAAATGTTTTCTAGAGGATTTAAAGTGTGAATCCTCAAGAAAGCGTTTAAATTTATCTATAACTTTTTTTTTTCTAAAATAATTCTGGGAACTTTTGAGATGGTCCGATTGTTGTTTTTTTTTTTTAATTAAAATTATTTTTTTCTCTCTTTCGTCCCATCTTATGTCCACCGACTGTGACACGCTGCTGCTTGCAGGATTTTGAGGTATTATTGATTACTGGTCTTATGATTAATTAATTAAAAATAATTGGTCGTTTAGTTTTAGTCATATTTAGATGATTATTATTATTATTATTTTAAAAATTATTATTTGGTTTTTAGTTAGCCGCTTTTAAATACCGAAAACCTCCACCACCGCCCCATACACCACCCTTTTAATTGTAGATTTTCCGCTGAATCACGCATCACTGATAGAGTGTATGCGCAACAACAAGTTGATGTCATTCAAAATGAGGTGATTGTCAGTCATTTCATTAAAATATTTTGATTTTTTCAACCCTGTATATTCAAATTTGCCGCCAACGTTCGATTGGACTAATTTGAACTTGCAATGTTGCGAAATGTTGATTGGTCAAATTTGAATTTTCAGTGTTGTTCCTAAACCTAGATCATTTTGAATGACCTAACAAAAAAAAAATCACCAAAAAACTAACCAATATAAAAGAAAAACGTAGCAGCTTTGTCGCGGGTTCTTATTCTTGTGGCATGGCAACTAAACACACACTATTATTTTTTTTGCACCATATAATCACTACCGCCTTCTTTCAAATAATACAAAAATTAACACCAAAAGTACACCATTAAAAACTGTATACACCAAACCCTCTATATATGTCTCAGCTGTTTAAGAGGTCTCTCAAACCATCTCTAAAGTTGCCTAGGGCTCTGGCATGCCTTTTAAAACTAGCTAGTGCACGTTGAAACTTGTTTCTTGCATGATGATTTGATGCTTTTGAACGAAATTGTTATTTGTGAATTTTTCCAGTTTTTCATCCGATTGTCACACATTAAGAAATGCTACACGCAAAAGGGCAGCGTTTTTATTATCGAGGAGTTTAGTAAGTTTTTTTGTTTCAACTATAGACAATGTAACTCTGTTTTAATGCAATTTCAGATCCGAAAACTCGCCAAATAATTCAGAGGAAATACAAATCGCCCATGGTGAGTTTTGAGTATTTTTAATGGTTTATTGATGTTTTTTTTTTTTTCTTTTTGCATGATTATTTTTTGGTTTTGTTAGTCTAGCCAGATGCTGAGCCAAATTCAAAGGATATTTGCTGCAGCCTTGGCAGAGGAATTGAATAGGCTGCCATTGGGAGCGTGACGAGAATTTTATTTATCCATTGTATTTTGTGTAAGCTTTATTTTTTATTTTATTTTTTTTATTTAGCAAGTTTTTAGTTGATTGGTTGTTTGCACCAAAACCAGAAATAATTCAATATAAGTATTCAGATTCGAAAATTACCATACTTTGGTAAGCTGTTTTGCATCCAAATTAATTTAGATTTCTGTTGTTGGTACCTGAAAAAAGGACGTTGACCTTGAGCAGATAAAATTACCTCAAGAGTAGCGGTAAATGTTAGGGATAGATAATGTTACAGAATGGGGAAAATCTTTCAAATACTGTTGGAGAACTTTCAGTAGTTGTATTTATCTCACTTGGCGATTCCTGGGAAAGAGAAGGAAAGACAAGGCACCAGCCAACATAAAACGACACAATGGCACCTACACAATGAGCGAGAATGAGATCAACGAATATTTGTTGAACAAATACTTTCCAGACGACAACCTTGAACTAGACAATGATAATAAAAGGGAAACCAGGAACAGAGACAAACGCTACAATAACAGAATAGAGACAGAGATAAACCGGAGAGAGCAACTAGCTCGGACAGAATACCAGTTATGGAAGGGCGCGAATATTATATGGATCTCGAAAAAAGAGGGAACACTAAGTCCTATAAGCCTAAACAAAATTGAGATGTTATGTAAGAATTTATATTTTGGTAACGTGAATAATTCTGTCACATCTTAAAATTTCGTAATAAATTATGCTGAAAAGTAAATTTGATCTGAAGCAGTAAATAACAGTTTTCTGAATCGGAGGCAATCTGAACGAAATCTTCTTTTTTCTCTTCTTGGAGTAATTATTGAAAGGTGTTATTAGCGATTTAAAATTAGTGCCACTTACCACTTTTCTGCTGAAGCTGCACCAGTGTTTTAAAGGGAATTTTGAAACCAGAAAAGGAAGGACTAATTTTAAAAGATTAAAATTAATTTATTTATGAGTAAAAAGAAGAGTTAGCGTTAATTATTTAAAGATAAAAAAAAGGTAAGGTAAAATATACAGGGGGGGACTTTAACTGGAACTAATTCGCTAGAGCTTTCGGGTAAAATATGTGGACAAAACTCAAAAACACGTCGATTAAGATTTTTTGCTTAAAATTTTTTCACATTAATTTTTTTATACAGGGTGTTCCAAGAACAGCTGTACGGTAATCAACTTTATTTTTTTGAATGGTAGCCTCTGTATATTATGACATTTCTGGATTCTGCGTAAAATTCTAGACATGTTTCATCTATAATGTCATATACCTATCTTCAACTGTTTCGGAAATATGACAGTTGAAAATTGACTTTTTTGCAACTTTGACAGTCTGTAAAACCTAAACGGTTCATTTTACAGCAAAACCGATCATACATTTATTCATAAACTATCAAATGACACCAACTTTGAATTTAATCCATGATCAAAAATTCTGGTTAAATTTAATCTCCGGTTATATTCAAAGTTGGTGTCTAATGATAACTTATGAAAAGCTACAAACGTGAATGTGAAATCGCTTTTGATGTAAAATTAACCGTTTACGTTTTACAGCCTGTCAAAATTGTAAAAAATTCAATTTTCATCTTTCAATATTTCCGACACAGTTAAAGATAGGTATATGACATTGTGAATAAAATATGTCTAGAATGTTCCGCAGAATCCAGTAATGTCGTAATATACAGGGTCTACCATTTAAAAAAATAAAGTTGATAACCGTACAGCTGTTCTTGGAACACCCTGTAAAAAAAATTAATGTGAAAAAGCCTTAAGCAAAAAATCTTGATGGACGTGTTTTTGCGTCCTTGATTCCAAATCTGACACTTTAATGAAATTGAAATTAAAAATAAACCCCTTGGAGAGCTTTTACTAAAACACCGGACGGCAGATGAACTAGAGGATGAGAAATGGATCTAGAACTCGTTGAGACTTTACGAATTAAATTTCCGGTGATAACTAGTAGTAAAAACAAGTGGTGAATTGACGATAACTGAAGTTAACTGGCCTCAAAATCTGCTTGAATAAGCAAAAGGAACGACCCTATGGGTACCACTTTAGAAGCCCATTGGCTACCCCTTAGTACCGGGCTTGCGAGAGAGACAAAGTTGAAGATCTCCAACCCTCTTAGCTTTCAGCGATTCGTTGAAAGTACCCTCTGGTTTCTTGTGGTTTTCCCATTGGTTCTCAAGCTTATTTAACCTTCCTCATTCATTTTGCTTCACCCTGTGATCCAGTTTGATGGCTCTCCAGGAGTTCCCTAGTTAAATGTGGTCAAATTATTAATTGAACATTTAATGTTTTCTCTTTAAATTGAGAACCTTTCCCTTTTCTAATTACCTATGCTATCTATTCTTATTTCCTAATTTCTAATCTAGTCGAGTAAAGAAAATAAAAGTCCCCTAATTTTTAACCTAATTATCAAGGGTGTGAAATGAATTAAACTGTCCTCCATTAATTTAATAATGAAATAATTGAGTAGTCACTCCTATCTTAACCTACCTATATTTTAATCATAACGAAGCATCTGACTATCTTACAGTTAACATTTCACCCATCCCATGTTTATAACCCTTGATAATTATATTGTTATACAATTTGTTATTGTATCTTCATAATCCAGCTCATGTAATCATTGCTTCGCTCCACGCACACATGCTTCGAATATAATTCTTTCCAGCAACGGTATCAGTTACCTGACATCTGGGTTCGTCATAAAACGTGAGTATTCAGAATATTATCCTTGACTTTGAATAAATTATTACAACCACATTGGATCTGGTTCAGTCGACCGATTAGTTTAAATTTTAGTGTTTTTCTAGGAAAACATAAATTTTGCCTACATAAACCAGAAAAAAAAACCAACCGCCAGACCCAAGGCAAAAGCAGTAGCTAAACGAACCATTTATTTGTCAATTTTGGGTTAAGCAAAATAATCTTTGGGCCATAAAATTCAATACTTTTTTGGCTTTCAAGTGATTTTTACCAAATCAGGTGGTTCGCAGAACTCCATGTATTTGTACCAGTTAAACAGAAAATAAAAAAAAAAAAACAAAAGGGGCACTCTCGCCATTTTGACCATGGTTGGCGCGATGGGTTGTAGGGGTCTCTCGTTTCTGAGACAGGGTTCCCTTGACAGTGGTTTTCTTATTTAGTGGGTTTGCACACCGATTTGGGCATCCAAAGCTGAAGCTGAAAGGCAGAAGGCAATGATTTTCGAATCGAATGTCACTTGTCACCTGATTTAACGAAATTCCCACTGTCCCTACCCACATTACGATGGCTGGTGCAATTTTGTTAACACCCAGGAAACTGTCGTATCTACCATCTCACGATAGAGGAAGGAGGGAGAAGCTCTCGAACGATCCCAGAATTCTGGGCGAAATTCCTGAGCCTCTCTCCAGGAAGATGGTAACGGTATCGTCTCGTCCTCCGTAATCCTACGAATGATTCCAGTTGATCTGGCTGAAAGATCGATGAGTCCAGCTTCCCGGTTAATGGGCTTTATCTCGAGTTAACGAAGACTCAGGCACGGCCGGGGGGTTGAAGTTGTAACCTGAGTAATATCCGTAGTCTTACTAGTTGGCCCCTAATGTCTACCCTATCTCAGTATATTTGGGTACCGGATGACTTGGGTGTTGCGAAAGCTAGTAGGGGGACACCCCGATTCCGGATCTTATTAAAAGTACGGGACTCGCCTATTGAGCCTCTTTAACACAAGCAATACCTTGCTAGGTCGACCACGTTCCTGCACCGATAAAAATTATCGCCGCTGTGCTGATTTCAGGGTTCGTGGTTTAAAGGCTCAAGCCAGATGTTGTAGCTACTCATAAAAGTGAGTACGTTACTGGTGTAACCTGGCTAACATGAGTACCCAGGGGAAAGGCCAGTACAGCCAAATCCAAAAACTTGTGTTGGTCTTTGGTGGGCAGATAGGATTAACTAGTTTAGTCCAAGACTGTGGAAGACCAACGCTACATCACAATCTCTTGAAGAATGTCACTTGTCACTTCTAGTTAGTTGTCTTTTCTACAAATTAAATGTGTGGCGTATGCTTGTTTGAGAAAAGTTATGGATTTTAATCATAACTATTCTGTTCTTGTTGATCTATATTGATATTGATTGATGTATATATTTTTTAGGCAGATCAAATTTGTTACTCAGTTCTCTGCGTATTCTCCTACATAGCGGCAGGCAAAGAGGGCAAAGAAAAATTTATCATGCCCCAACCACATGCGAAGCCCCACCAACTCAAACTCGAACCACACGTTCCGGCAAAAACTCACCTTCAACCGACTACAACTCACCTTCAACCGACTACTACCGCCGACCCGCCAGGTTCGATCACCCCTCAAGGTGGACCGCCAACTTATCCACCTCCCGCCTTACCCGCAGGAGTGCCGCCTCCGGCACCGCCGCCTTTCAACCCGAAAGTCTTAACCTCGCAAATGTCGATGCCGGCGAAACCGCCGCCTCCTATACCGAGTCGGAGCAAGTTGCCTTTCAGACAGGCGTCGGTTGGCGTGCCGCCGCCGCCTCCGCCGCGTCACAAGTGATTTCCTACTAGTAATTTATGGCGTTAGAAAGTGTCTTCCTTGGGTTTAGGATTAGGAAGTGTAGGGACGGGGCAGAAAATTTGTATATTTTAGTGTAAGAAGTGTAAGTATTTTATTTTTACAATAGTATTTAGAGGAGTTATTTTGATTAGTTAATTGAAGTAAAAGAAAACCTCTAGAATACAGGCTTTAATAAACTCAGAATTTTACTATACAGATGCACATAACTAATATTGGCAAACTGTCAAGGTTGACAAATAATAAAGGTAACAAGTTTCTAAATATATAACATTCACCCCTAGTTGGTTTTATATATATATGGTCGGTTCAAGGAATAGTCAGTTATATTTTCTACGACTCCATCGCCTAGATTCCCTAATGGTGTTACAGGTATCTCATCAAGATTTCCAGCACCAAAATCGTTGTAATTGCGTTGTTGAATGGGATCTGGTTCACTACATTGGTCGTTGTTTTGATCATTAGGTTCGTTTCTATATGTTCTACATTCTACATTCATATCCTCATTCGGCGTATCTTCATGCAGAGCAGAATCTCCTCTTGGCGCAAGGTGGCGTGTTGACACAGTTGTTTCTTTACCATTAGCTAAACTGATATGAGCATAATCAGTTAGCTTCTAGGAGTTGCACTTCTTCCACGATCGGTTCATACTTGCTTTGCCTTACATGCTTCTTTAGGAAGACTGGACCAGGAATACTCAACCAGGTTGGAATTGAAGAACCATATGTAGATCTTTGAGGATGATAGAACATTCTCTCATGCGATGAACAATTTGTTTCTATACATAACAAAGACCTTATTGAATGAAAAGAGTCGACCAGTATCTGCTGCCAATGTCTCATATCCATGTTTCTTGATTTTAGAGTTAACTGAATGGTTTTTCATATAATACCTACCATTATACCGTTCACACTGCCCACTTCCTTGCGGGTTATAAGGAGTAGCGCGACTAGTTGCAATCCCATGTCATATTAAGAATGTTTTCAGTTCTTTAGACATAAATGATGTCCCTAAAAAAATTGAGTTAAACAATTTATAATTGTTGATGAGGTCATGTCAGGACAAGCAAAGCCAAATGAGAATCTAGAAAATTCATCCACAATAGTCAAAATATATCGGTTTTGTTTCTCAGATGGCAATGGACCTTTAAAATCTACATTTATTCTTTCGAAAGGGCCAGTAGCTTCTATGATGGTCCCTTGATTTCTATGAAACCTTGGTTTGATCTCAGCACAAACGGGACAGGTGGCTGAAATTCTCTTGATATCGTCTAGTGAGAAAGGTAGATTCTTACATCGGACCCAGTGATACAGTCTTGTTATACCAGGATGACAGAGAGAATTATGTAGATTATACAATGTTTTGTCACTAGAAGAAGGTAAAATCGCAGAAGATATTCTTGAAAATGTATCTGCTACGATAATTTGATTTCCAGATCTGTACGTGATATCATATTTATAAGATGATAGTTCCAGACGCCACCGCATTATTTTTTCATTTTTGATTTTAGAATTATTTAGTGAATTAATCATAAAAGCGACCGATTTCTGGTCAGTTACGAGTTTAAAGTAACGTCCGATTAAAAAATGTCTCCATTTACGAAGTGCTTCCACTATAGCATAGGCTTCTTTTTCTACGGAAGAATGTCGCTTTTCCGATTTCGTCAATTTTCTAGAGAAAAACGCCACTGGTTTTCTAGACTGTATAAGTTGAGCAGCAATAGCATATTCCGATGTGTCAGTTTCAACAGTAAAAGTGACTTAATCGTCAATGGAATTAACAACAGCGTTTTGCATGTCAGTCTTCAACTGTTCAAATGCAGCAGCTTCACAAGCAGACAATGACAGTGGATGTATTTTCTCAGAAAACTTATGAATGAATTTGTAATAATGGGCAAACATGCCTTCAACTCTCCTGAGCGAAGCAATATTAGTAGGTAGTGGCAACTGAATCAGTGGTTTAAGTCTGTATATATCTGGTTTGATTGATTTTCGTTCTATTGTATGCCCTAGTATATTGCCAAAGTTGCATTTCTCTTTATTAAGCATCAGATTATATTTCTTAACAACTTCTAAAAATCGTTTGAGATTTGTATCGTGATGCTCTTTATTTTTACCACAGATAGTTACGTCGTGTTTTCTAAATGTTCTTGTTTGATAATGTTATTCATATTTTTCTGGAAACAAGCAACGCCATTAGTCACTCCAAAAGGAATCCGAGTGAATTGGTATAGATTTCCACATGCTTCAAAGGCAGTTTATATACTACGTTCGTGCTCTAGAATTGGTATGAGCTAGAATTAAAACTACAGAAGCATACAAACTTTTTCCTCAGCTTGTCTAAATTTGAAATTGAATAAGAGAAGTAAATTGTGTTATCTGACCATTTTGGAACTAAAATTGAGCTAGAACGGTTCAAAAAAGATGATTTTTCTCCTTCGTATATCCAAAACTCAACTTGAGAAGCTTAAAAATCTTATGATCGGCTCTCCTGAAGCTGAAATTGGGACTAGGAAAGCATGACATATCTTTTCTCAGTTTGTCTAAAGTTGAAATTGAGCTAAAAGAGCTGTGTTTTCTGACCATTCTAAAACTAAAACTGAACAAGTGCGATTTAGAAAAGATGATTTTGGCTGGTGAAACTTTTCTTTGTAAGTTCAATTTATATTAGTATATTTTTCTTCAACAAGGATAGCAAATTAAAAAAGAAATAATTCCTCTAAATATTAAGTGCCTGTTTTAGTTTATTTGTTTAACTATAAGAATGGAATAGTGTCCAGAGTCAAGAATGCAAAATCGATTGGAAAAATAAAATTTTTGATCTTTTTTCACTATCGCTAATTGATAAAAAGATTCTGTAAGTATAAGCTGTAAGTAAGCCAGCTTCAATTTATAATTGGAGAAAATTTGAAGTCAACTTCTAAACGATCCTGCATTCAAGACTCTCATACCTTTTGGGTTTGGACATTTCCTAAATAAAATTAGAGACAAAAATATTTAAATAAATAAAAGCAATAATAAACAAAATATTTATTAGCCCCAGATTTTGTTATCGTTTGAATGTATAGTGTATAGCTTTCTTTGGATGTTTCCGCAAGAAAAGCAATTTATTAAAATTCCGTTATATTTAATTGTTAATTAATTAATCCACATATCCGCATAGCGTATAATAAATTATAACTTTCAGTGGCAAAAGATATTTTAATTGTTTGGTGTATATTTTAAATTTTATATTAAAAGTAAGTATATGATTATTAATAAAAAATATATAAATTTATTAAAAAGAATTATTTTTATTTTCATCAATAGCCAATGAAAACAACCACACCTTCTCTGTATTCAACAATCTTTGAAGTTAAAGAAGACAAAATTTAAGTAAAACATTTATTTTGTAATAAATAATAAATACAATAATTATTTACAAATACATAATAGCAGTAATTGAAAAGTACTTATAGTTTATTTATTTTTTTCTTAGAAGACAACTGTACAAAGTATAAAAGCTCAGCACTCACGACTGCAAAATTACGAAACTTTGTTCGTGAGTGCGAAGCTCAACAGCAAAAAGGAACAAAAGCCTTTGAAAAAATCGAAGTGCTGGGCCACTGGTAGAAGAAACTTTATGCATTATATTTAGCTCATTCTAGGTCTGTCCTGGATCGAAAGTTTCCGAATCGGGACTGCCGTAGCCGCTGCTGCCGTCATCCTTAATGGGCTGTCGCTGTCGCTCTTTGTCCGTGGTAATCTTCTCGCTGTAACAGGGGGTACAATTTTGTCGTTTTGCAGCCGGTTGCCCTTTGGATTTTGAGATCATTGATTCGGACTGCAATGACGAATAAGAGAATATAAATACAAAAAATTATTATAATAAGTTAAAATACAATAGACATTTTGTATGGTTTAATACACATTTCTTGATGGTATGATACACATTCTCTTATTCGACATTGTTTTGTAATCAAAATTAAAAATGATGTAAGTATGAGAATTTTATCAAAATGTACAAGAATCTGTTGAATAATTTCAAGAGTTATGACAACATTGCTTTAATGAAGATTCTAATAAAGAAAACACCACTAGGAAAATCATGAGTCGTTTTCTAAAAATTTGTATCGAAAATTTTCATAAATAACTATGTGATTAATTAACGGTGATAATCATACCTGTAAATTACTGACTTGCCTTCGTATATGCGCTAAGCTACTGGGATTGTAGGCCATATTCGCGAACACCAACCTCTCTTCGTAATCGTATTCGCAGAGAATTTTATTTTCGCATAAGTAGAATCTATCGCCTACACAAAACCTAAAAGAAAATGCATAGTTCTATCAAATTCTTGAATATTTCATTAGATATTTTCAAAAATTGTTCAATTCCAAAAGACCAATCAGATTTTGAAATTGGTAAAGTTTGGGATTAATTGTTATATATTTGATTCTCATCGCTATTACGATTTTCAAATTCCAAAATGATACAAATTTTGATTATTACCGGCTCTTGAATTTCTGGACAATGTTTCCAGATGTTCTCGAAAGTTGATAACTTCTAGAAAAATTATCCAGAAAATCAAGAGCCGGTGTTACCACCGCCATCTGGTTGCGACGGTTGGGTAAGGGAGACTTGGTTTTAGCACTGGTAAAGGCCTTTTTTGTACTGCGGTAGCGTGCCACCACCAGGGACTTTGTTTAAAGTCCCACTGAAAATCTAGGTAACTTTGAACGGATACTTTTTAGTAATCTGATTAGATCGCCTCTTCCAGTGCGGATTCTTGCTACCTGAGCTGTACGCAGTTAGTTGGAATGCTAGCTCGGGGTTTTCAATGTTTACTGAAATGAAATGAAAGAAAATATATACGGAGATTTGGAATAATAGGGAGTGAAATCAATGAGCGTCCTGTATAGGGCGTTCCTTGATGGTACAAGTTACATAAGAAATTAAAGATTAAAAGATATAGAAAATAAAGACTAGGTTATGATTCTTAGTGGGTAAAAGTCACGGGCGTGCTCGACGGGGGAATGACAAAACGGCCTTGTTGTTCAGGGTAAGATACATGTTGGAAAAGAGATTTCAGTTGTGAAGCTAACCCAACGGTTTTGTTCTTTACACAGGGGAGAAAATAAATAATAGACAGAAAACAACAATCATGACGAATAAATTAAAATACTTGAAATTAAAACAATACCTAAGGTCTCGGAAAGAGAGTCAGCAGAAAGACGTCAACACTAAACACCAGAACTTCGTTACAGAACCGAATGAATCTAGGAGACTCACAGGCTTATTTATATTGGCAACTTGATTACGCTTTTGGGATTCTTATCGGTCGCAAAACATGCGATTTGTTCATGGATCCAGGAGTCGAGAGTCGTGTTTTAAGACATAGTAATCACACTCTTTCGAAAACCGACTGATAACCCTTGGCTCTTGACACGGTTTCGTCAGAAATTTAGCGACTTAATCTCGCTGGGTAAGAAACAATTAATTGCAAAAAAAAGGATTTTTAGGCCCTTTTGTTACACCGGTAATAGTGAGCATATTTTCAAAGATGATAATCGGCCCTAACTTGTACTGACATGATCATGCAAACCTTGAATATTTACCTATGATTGCACTGCTGACAGGCGAAACATTCTAAATGATAGACGTTATTTTTCGCCCTCATCACCATCTCGAAAGCCGGTATCACTTTGTTACAGGCTGCACAATAGCCAGTTGTACCAAATAACCTAAAAAAATTAATAAATAAATGTGAATCCTAAATGAAAATTGCTATAGACTATCAGGTCTTACCTCAAATAATCTCTTTTACACAACAAAAGATTGGCTTTCGTATACAACGTAGATCCGACTTCGCCTAGTCTACAGTCGCAACAGCCGCACTTCAAACAGTCCTCGTGCCAAAACAAGTCGATAGCTTTGAGCAAAAACCTCTCCGTAATGCGTTTGCCGCACGAAGCGCAGTCTTTGTTGCCGCCGATGAACGTCACGCCAACGGTACTTTGTGCGGTACTCGTAACTGTGACCGTACGACATGTCGCTGCCGCTGCTGCTGGATTATCCACTCCGCTTTCTGGAATAAATTCGAAACCATTAATTTTTAGTGCATTACCGATAGAACGACGTGCACTCTCTCTAGAGTGGTTTGAGTTTTCATTTGCATAATGAAACAACAACAAATGCATTTTGTATTAGGTCCGGAGATTTAATGGCCCGCGAAGCCGGTTTTCCGGGGACAGCGAACGGTCATTACACAGTCGTGACATCTGCAACTAATTTCGGTTAAGTGGTTTTTACGGCGCTCGATGATCACCTTGTCATGAGACTCGTTAAGCGATTTGGCAAAAAATCACTTATTTCAGAGGTTTATTATCTTAGTAATCTGTTGCTGTTGTTAGTTGTCTGTTCGGCTGTCGTCCCAAACAAATTTTGATTAAATTTGATAAAAATGTGAGGCTTTTTCAACAGATTTGTCAATGATTTGAGTGCTGACTTTTGATTGGCTAAAGGATACTAAGAAAGAGAAACTTGCCGGAAAGTGGTAATAATTCTCTGAATTGAGTCACTTAGCAAGAAAAAAAGAAAAATCACAGAATATTCCTTATTATCGTTTAATTTACCTATAAGTAGAGACCAATCCGAACTGTACAACACGCTGAAGATCTAGACATTGGGACGATTTCTGAGGAGAAGTTTTGGACTTCCTGATACATCTCAACCTTAAGAGTGCATGTGGAGTAGATGAGATTCCGGGTATTTTGCTGAAGACTGTCGCGCCTGCATTGGCGGAGTACTTAGCTAGAGTTTACAATGACTGCAACTGTTGCTGACTGCACATTTTTCTAAGGCATGGAAGAGAGGAATACTTATCACGATCCTTCGTTGCTAAGACCTCTGACGCTCTTGCCTATCATGGCAAAGGGCCCCTTAGTGTTTAGGGATAATTAATTCGATGGATCATGATCAGTTACATCATGTGAATCACTTTGGATTCATCAAAGGTAAAGGAACACAAAAGGCAATAGACTCTCTACTGACCGAAGTAAGGAAGCCTAATAAATACAATGCCGCAATTTTCCTCTATATGAAGGGGGCATTCGACAACGTGTGGTGGCCCTCTATGCTGGACTCGCTTAAATCTAAACACTTGCCTGAGAAACTTTTCAATATTATTGTCAACTATCTAAAGGATAGAGAAATACCATACAATTATGGACCGATAACTGTAAGGAAGACGCTCGAGAGATAATGCCCTCAGGGCTCTAAACTTGGCCCAAATCTGTGGAATCTTATTGTTGATCATCTGCTGCAGAGATTTGAAGAACTGGACAATTGCCGCTTGATAGCATATTTTGACGATCTGGCGATCACCACGGGTGCTAATTCTAGACCTGAACTCGAGAGAAGGATGAACCTAGCGCTTGATATTGTCCATGAATGGGCAGGTTTGACGAATCATCTCTGAGAACGATATTTCACGGTGCTATAATGCCCTTGTTCACATATGGATGTAGCAAATTTCAGAAAAAATTGGGGCATGCCAGATTCCAGAACAAATTAAACTCCATAAGAGGTCTTGTAGCAAAAACTATGATTGACGCCTATGTCACAACATCGACAGAGGCTACATCTGTCTTGACCAATGGAGCTGCTAATTATGGAAGCGCTTGATGTTAAAAGATACAGAGCAGGCGAGAATATAGACCAGGAAGGATTTATTTTCGAGGCTTAGTGAGAGCAAGCTTAAGAAAAAACTTAAAGAAAGGACGCTCTGAAGTGGCAAAGGATCTGGGATGAATCAGACAAAAGAAGAATCACCCATAGCACCCATAGAATGCTCCCCAATGTGCTGGAAAGACAGAACAACCGCATAAAATTCAATAGTAAAGAAATACAGATGTTAACTGACCATGGACAGTTCATGGTTCATTATAAAAAAATTGGACAACCATTAGAGGAGACATGCAACCTTTGCGACATGAATGAGGCTAATGACCCGATTCACAGGCTATACAATTTTCCTGAACAGATGGTGGCACGTAGGAAGATACTCAACTTGTTGTTATAACAGTTGGATGGTGGGACCCTCCTTCAGTTCTGTTTTTCTTCTTACCTATAAGTAAGAATATGGAAGTTTATTTTTTATTTTCGATTCCTCTCTTGAGATTTTTTCAACTCTTGTCCTTGATCTCACTGTAAAATATTTGGCCCATCTTCCCATTATGTCAGCCTCATTTATTCTAGTTTTTGTGTTTTTTTTTTTGTGCTAGTTATTATTTTATCACAAAAATCAATTTTTCAAAGAGTTCTAGTTTCCGATAGATTTGCTTCTAAAGTTCTAAATTTAAAGTTTTCAAAGTTTGTGAAAGTTCTTGGATCTGTTTTAAAGACGTTTTATAAAGAATTTAATTTGCTTGTAAACAATTTTTAAGTTGATTTGTTGCTACTGGTTTGCCTCCTCATTGTCTTTCATGCTTGTGTGACCCAGAACAATGGTGACTACCTAAGCCCACTGATTAGCTTTAGGGTTGTCATACAGTCAAGCGTGAGCCTTATTGCAGCCTACGCTCCATAAGAGGACAAAAGAGTCAACATTAAGCAGGAGTTCTTTGAAAAATTGGAGGAAATCCTAGTGGATATTGGAAGAAATAGAGAAATCATAATGATAGAAGAACGAGAAGGGCGAACAATAGCCCAGTTGTAGAACTATTTAGAGAAGAAATAATCAATGATAATGGTCAAAGGCCTGTGAGACCCACAATCTTAGAATAAGCAAAGGATTTTTCAAACCCATAGATATTCACCGCTACACATGGAAACAGAATACCCTTAATCTAAAAACTATTATTGACTATGTGATAAGCAAACAAGAAACAAACATAGAAATAAACGATGTAAGAGCCTTGAGAGGAATAACTTGCGAGTCAGATCATTTTTTAGTAAGAGCCAAAATAAAGTTGCCATTTAGGAAAATGAACGAAAACATTAAAAGCCAACTAAGAAGGTGCATCACTATAGCTAAAAACGAGTTATGGGATAAGAAATGTGGAGAAATTAACACCTACATAGGAGGAAGGACATGCTCAGAGAGATTTATATCAAATGTCAAACCCCAAGGAAAGGACAGACCTAATATCCAGGTAATCAAATCAGAGTAATGGATAGAACACTACAAGGGTCTATTACAAGAAAGACAGAATTTTTATTAGATTCTCCAAGATATATTGAAGTACATAGAGAAGTATTAGTAGTAGTAGAATAACATTGACAAAATTGTGGGTTGGGGAGTGGCAAATAACACAAATTTATTCTCTGCGACGTTTCGTAACGGAATACGCCCCCAAAAGGATGCCGCTTACTTTTGAATCACCCTGTATTGTTACTTTTTCAAGCACTAAAATAAACGGAAATAAAAAACATGTCATACATAAAAAAAGATAAACATTACATCATACCAGAAAAATTGTAGGAGCTTTAAGGAAAACAAATATTTTTTAAAAAAATATCAGCACCCTGTGGATTCGTAACAATGCGTTTGCGGACCTATGTTTATCAGAAATTTTAGTCATAAAATAAACCCCTTCCGATTGCACATGATATTTAGGAACACTCTGTATATTCTTGAAGAGAAGTGGAATATAAAGGGTGTCCCAAAAAGATACCGACAAACTTTAAGGGGTAGTAGGGGACATCAAAACAAGCATTTTTGTTTATATAAACATATGTCCACAAATGAGCCATTTGGGCTGTAGAGCAAAAAAACTGTTTGATACTTTTATTCTTCGCAATAATTAAATCACTGTTTACTTATTAATTTTGCTTTATTATCAAATAAATTATGGTTTACAATAATTGTTCAAAATGTTGACCATTTACTTCAATGCAAAGATTACACCGTCGGGTCATTGAATGAAAAGTTTAGTCTACGAGACACCTGTTCGTAATGAGGAAGATCTGATAGCAAGGATACTGGCGAGTTGTACCCATGTAGAATCTATTCCCGGAATATTCCAAAGAGTTCGCGAGTTGAACAATTGTTGTAAACCATAATTTATCTGCTATTAAAGCAAAATTAATAAGTAAACACTGCAGGGTTGGGAATGTAGCGACATTTTTATATTATTTACATTAACTACATAAACTACATTTACTACGTAATTAATTCTAAATGTAGTCAATTTAAGGTAGTTAATGTCGTTGATGTAACTAATGATCTAATTGGTTGATTTCCTCTGTCATTTTGAATTTCTAACCTCACAAAAGTCACTGGAGTCGGTCTACAGAACCCTGAGACCCTGAGAATTTTGTTTTGTTTTTTTATTGTCTTTATAACGGTACTTTTTCCTGTCAGGTTGAATAATATTTTGTTTTTTTATTTTTTTGTTCAAGTTGGTGCTTTTCAGTTTTGTCATCGTCCAAAGATATTCTGGTCTGATGTTAGAATATCTTTGAATGATGGTTTTGTATTTAACACTTTTGTAGGGATTTTTTTCTATGTTTTTTTATTGTCTTTGTAACGGTACTTGTTCCTGTTAAATAATGAGGAGATAGTTAAATAATAACGTTTGTAATAAGATTCTTCTTGTTTTATTTCCTTTATCAATGAAGATATTATAGCCCTGTCGCACGGACTCATGCCATGCATGGCTCATCCCATAACTAAACTACCATCATATTCAAATTTTTCCAATAACAATAATTTTATGAAAAAAAAACTTTGGAAAATGTTCGAAAATATAAAAAAAAATTAGTTAAAGGTTATGTAGTTACTGTAACTAACTTTGCTGAAAAAGTGATGTAGTCATCCTCAATAACTACGGTAGTTAATCATGTAATTAATGTTACATCAACTACGTTCCCAACCCTGGTAAACAGTGATTTAATTATTGCGAAGAATAAAACTAGATACCAAACAGTTTTGGTTTTGTAGTCGGGATAAAACATCACTCTTTGAAAAGCGGCTGGAGCGTTTTTTAAGCCAAAGGGTATGCGTGTATATTCATAATGCCCGCTTTCGACTTTAAAAGTAGTTTTAGGAATTTAAATTGGGTTCATTTCCACTTGGTGGAAACC